GGTTGAAGCAAGTGAATCTGCGTTGATTGACTGATGTTCGAATCCCTTGCGCAACAGTCGCTAGATCGAGGTTGTCACACATGATTCACCTTAGTGTGTTTTACGTCTCTCTTATGGTTTGCAAGATGTTATACCAAAATGTAAATTTACCCAATGCACTTATATGGTTGGCTGTAGATTTCTTCATTGAAACAGTGTGCTTTAATTGTGATGTAGGGGCTTGTTTAAAGTTAGATATGATGTGTGTTTTGCTAAAACTTTTACATTTATGCCACCAATTAGTGTGATTTATGATGATTAAAGACTTTAGTTAAAGCTATGTATACTTATATTTTATGAGATGTGATTGTTTAGTTGGAGTCACCCTCTTCTTCTTGTTTGTTAATTGTGACCTAATTATATGATCTATTAGTGATCTTCAACAAAATAATCACGGCAACATATGTACACTCGATAAACTCATTTTCGATACAATAATCATCTGCAATTTACAATAAATGCGTGAGTTATTGTGCAATAGTCGTCGGCAAAATCAGATGATCAGAGATGTAAAATGTAAGTTACATAGGACGACGAATATATGCAATTAACTCGACCTAAAAGATGTTAAGCAGAAATAATCGAAAGCTTGTGTTGTTAGAAGAGTTTTTTTTTCCTAGTCTATCAATTAGATACCATTGTTACATATTATAAATAAATTTATAATAATAATAATAATTAAAAAAAAAAAAAAAGATACTCCCACATTTGATTGCATTGTCAGCAACTATTGACTGATAGTGAAGTGAGTTATTGTCCTAGAAATTCATTGGCCCATTTCCAAAAATAAATGTACTAGCTAATTTCTTGGTTTGCAGCAAGATCGGCAAGATAAGGACAACAAATCTATTATTACTGCACTGTATTAATAGTGTGATGTGTTTTAGTGGGGCCCCCCAAATCAATTCCATGTTTAGTTGCTAATAAAACCACTAGTTTTCTTTATCTTTTGGATCTTAATAGTAATTTGTTGTCGACCAATTCACCAAGTCAAGTTCACAAATATCTGGATTCGGAAGTTACGGTTTCGTAGAATCTACATCTAGTGAAATACACCGTACAGTTTTACGTTATTGATATACACATAATAACACTATCGAAGCATGATTTATAATTACTAAATGTGCCACTGAAGTTCAGACATAAATTTCTTTTATTCTACCCTACTGTAATATCATCTATGCCGATACCATGTTGAATGATAAATTTGTATCCGATTAACAAACTTGCAAAAATACTTGTTGGTAGCATTTTTTGGTCAAATCCATCCAGAAATAATTGCTCCTTTAACTATACTACAAACGCCACATTGACTGAAGTCCTGCAATGGATAATTAACCTAGCGATTGAAATAATAGAGTTTGTGTCAAATAACTCGATTTCGAATCCTCTTTTTAATTGCGTCGAACGTGTTCACCCAGTGCACCTGTATGGTTGGTTGCGGGTTCTTTCCTTAAAAAAAAAATTAAATGGTATTTTAACTATATTAATGTTATTTTGACATCATCATTGAAAATCTGCAACGCTTGGGACTACTACCAAGTCCAACAAGTCGAATTTAAAATAAATTTGGACCGACTCCTATTGGGCCCAAATCGAATTTTATAATATAGTCCATTAGTCTCATCTAAAATTATGAAGAGTAAAATATACATGAAATAATATTTTTTTAATATTTATAATGTTCAATTTAATAGAGCTCTATCGGTATATATTTTTTTAGAGGGTCGGTATAAATTTTATTAAAAAAAATAATTCATTTTAGATATCTTGTCCATGTATTGATCATGCTATTATAATTGAAATCCATAACTATTTAAAAAATTTAAAATTATTTTTTATAAAAAAATCAAAAATTTGTAGGACATAATTACACATTTTAGCTACTCCAATTAGTAATTACAGTAGAACCTCGATAAATTAATACCCGATAAATTAATAACCTCGCTTAAATAATAAATTTTCCCGGTCCCGACTCGGGGACAACGTGCTAAATTAATAATTCGCTAAATTTATAAGATAATACACATTCGAGAAATTTAAGAAGCCCCATATAATATATAAATTAATAATGCATAAAAATAATTCTTAAATTACATGGTATAGTACATATTTTATAGATCTATGAAAGCTTAATACCATATAATTTAATTGTTGCTTGTTTCTTGTTGAAGTTAACATTACCATCAATCTCGTCTCTCACTTTTCTTAACATGGTTAAAATTTTCGGTATTGTTTTCTTATAACTCAACATAAAATCGTTATATACCATTGCTGCTTTAAGAGCTTCCGTTCGTGAAACGGGCTCTATAATGCATTGAACTAATGGTACAATGAATAATATACACGTAAAAAAATTAAAAATGTATTTATTGAAAATAATAATAAAAGTAATTTCATAAATTAATAATTTATTAATTAATGTATAAATTAATAATTATTAATTTATCGATAAGTTAATATTTTGCTAAATTAATGAAATTTTGATGGTCCCAACTGTATTAATTTATAGAGGTTTAACTGTACATGGATATTGTGTTTAAAACTCAAATTGTATTTGATAGGAATATTCCGTCAAAGCTGTCAGCCGTTAACTGCGGTTAGATTCTTGACCGCAGTCAATCACGGATCCGTTAACGCGTTGAAATGACGGAAATGACCCCACCTTGTCCATATTTATTTATATAATCTGTATGCATTTTTTTTTTACAGAGAGAAGGGAGAGGGAGAGAGAGAAAGAGAAAGCGTCGGTGGACAATTGATTTCCAATTCGATACATATAGAGAGAGAAAGAAAACCAGAACAAAATATTTAGAGAGAGAAAGAGTTGAAAATTCAGAATTCGGAAGGGGGCGCGGCACAGGAATCGCTTCATTCATCGGCCATCAACAAGCACAACAGCGCTCTCTCCCGAACATATGCGTATAGATGATTGTATGTGTATGTAGAGGAGAAATTTAGAGAGAGAAACAAATATTTTTATTTTTATTTTCGAGAAAAGAGGCGGCGGCCATGTCTGAATTGAGCGGCGATTCCGTCAGCCTCGACGTGGAGACGATTTATCTCGGCGGAAAGGTAATTAAAATTCTGTTACTTGAAATGCATTTCGTTAACTTTTTCCATTTCCGGCTAATTTCTAATTCCATTGCTACCTTTTTCTGTATGTAAAGTTAATTTTGTTTTAATTACTTTTAGATCTGCTTATTGTTTCTGTGAATTTAATATGTCATTTGCAGATAAAAGCCATATTTTTCTAGGGTTTTTTTTGTTTGTTAATTTTCCCCTAAATGGATTTCTTTCAATGTTTTTCAGAAAAAAGGAATTAGTATCTATCCATAAATGTATTTATTATCTATCCACTTCAACATATATTAATTTTTGTCTGATGCTGTAAATTTGATCAATATTCCCTAATTTATATATTAGCTGTTTTGTGATATCTTGTGTTTGGAGATTATATTCTATTGGATCTTTGGCGCTTTCTTGTTTACTTTGATTATTCGATGTCATTAATGAAAATTGATTAGTTATCTAGAGTATCTTGTGACACCTGCCACTTTCGTTGTTGATATAAAATTTATGAGTACAGGTTGGCTGTTTGTCTGTTTCTTTCACCAGTGGTTAGAAGCTGTAATTATCATGTTAGCATTCAATAATTGCAATAATTATATAAAATACTATTTTTCAGTGCCATACTTAAATTGGATTTTGGAGTTGACCTTCAACTGTCAAATGACTGCAAAAAAGGCTTATGTCTATTTAACCGATCATTTTCCGTTTTGAGGAGAAAATATTGATGTTGTCATGGCAGCTTACGATTAATATTAATATTCAAACATTAATATAAACGTTAATGGTGGACCTTTGCTTATTATTCTTAATTTATATTTCTCACTCAGGAGCACATTATACGAACTGGGAGCGGCTCTATATCCGTTATAGTTTATGGAGACCCCGAAAAGCCGGCTCTCGTCACTTATCCTGATTTAGCTTTAAATCGTGAGTCCTGTGCTCGACTTGGTTGTAGCCTATGTGCCTTTTTAATATGGTATTGTGTAATTTTAATTTTTTGTTTTCTCTCTCTACAATCGAGTAAACTGTCTTGTGCAATTTCCTGCAGATATGTCTTGTTTCCAAGGATTGTTCTTTTGTCCGGACGCTGCAGCTTTGCTGCTTCACAATTTCTGTGTTTACCATATTAGTCCTCCTGGACACGAGGTTTGTAAATTGGCCTACTTTGTGAATGATGGCACAGCAACGTTACGATTTTACCATGTTTCTTTGTTCATAAATCCAACTTGTTAGTACATTTTTTATTCCGATACTAGAAAATATAACTCACAGCAAATTTAAATGGACTCTGATAAGAGTTCTTGCAGTTGGGAGCTGCTGCAGTTTGTGCAAGTGATCCCGTGCCTTCTGTTGATGATTTAGCCGATCAAATTCTTGAGGTTCTCAATTATTTTAGGTAAATCATAATTTTGATTTTGCTGCTTGTGTCACCCCTATTTGCGTTGTTATTCGAAATCTGTTCCTAATAGCGGGAGTTTTAACTTTATTCAGGCTTGGGACAGTTATGTGCATGGGTGTAATGGCTGGTGCTTACATCCTCGCCTTGTTTGCTGTATGTTTTACTATCTATCTATCAGATTTAACTATTATACTTTTTTTTTTTTGTTTTTCGTTTGACTGAGAGTTATGTCACCAGATGAAATATAGAGACCGTGTAATTGGTCTGATACTTGTTTCTCCTTTGTGCAAAGCTCCATCTTGGACAGAATGGATCTGTAATAAGGTATTGCATCTGTGTTTTTTCTATCAATATAGTATGCTTACATAATTTATAGTAATAATCATCAAAATTTAAGATTATGAATTCTGCAGGTGATGTCAAATTTGCTGTATTATTATGGCATGTCTGGTCTCTTGAAAGATTGCTTACTTTACCGGTACTTCAGCAAGGTATTCATTCTAGTATGTCATCATATTTATGAAAACGAGTCATTTCTTTTATGGATATCATCTTATTTCGAGTGTTCTTTTTCAGTAAGGTTCTTAGTTTTTCATAGTTTTATCTATTGTTGTATCAGAATGTTCGTGGTGGGGCCGATTTTCAAGAATCAGACATAGTTCAAGCATGTAGAAGAGTTAGTGCTTCAATATATTTACTTTCAAGAATCTCGGCCAATATATTTCTCGATCTTAAAATATGTGTGCTTTTTTTCTTTTATTTTCCTAAATTGAATTTTCCAGCTGCTGGATGAGAGGCAGAGCACAAACGTGCAGCGATTCCTTCAAGCAATAGATAGGTATGAAGAAGGGCTTAGATTGCAAACATTTCAGTTTTGCTATTTTCAAGAATATATATTTGCTCATATAAGATTGTTTTTGCCTATAAACAGAAGACCAGACATCACCGGTGGGTTGAAGAAGCTGAGGTGTCGAACCTTGGTATTCGTTGGAGATGAATCTCCTTTCCATTCGGAAGCTCTTCACATGGCCACCAATCTTGACAGAAGATACAGTGCCCTTGTCGAGGTATGCAATAAAATCTTCTATATTCCAAAATCTATTTTTTTATACTCGATGGATAATAGTAAAGATCATAACGGAAGATTTTAATTCGTTATAACTTATAACAGGTGCAAGCATGCGGATCAATGGTGACGGAGGAACAGCCACATGCAATGTTGATACCGATGGAATATTTTCTGTTGGGATATGGTCTACATAGACCGAGTAAGTTCAACGGCAGTCCAAGGAGTCCACTCAGCCCTACTTGTATTGCACCAGAGCTACTCTCCCCTGAGAGTATGGGATTGAAACTAAAACCGATCAAGACTCGCATTTCGTCACAAAGATAAGATTTTTTTTTCTTGTTCGTTGTCTTGTTAACTCTGTAAATTGGAATTTGTGATGATATTTTTTATTTTATTATTTTTTTTCGGGTTTGAAATGATTTAGGGGAATTTAGATATAGGAGAAGGAAGAAGGATAATTCTTTGTTGAACATAGGGTGGGAGTATAAGTATTGTAAGTATATTTGGGATCATTCATTCATTTGTAGTGAGAGTCAGTCAGTCATGAACTGTGGTTAGTTGATTTGAATTTAGTAATATGTAAATCTTGAAAGTGACATTTATTGATAAAAGACGAGAGAGATATAAATAAGACAGAGCAGCTGAGCTGGTGACTCTTGTTGCTCTATTTATTATCTGTCATCTCTCTCTCTCTCTCTCTCTCTCTACACACACACACACAGTGATGATGTCTTTTATGGGCATGTAGAGCAAAGCACATGGGAGCCAACTGTCTGTTTTGGGGTGGCATTTGCTGTAGAGAAACTGTTGATGCATAAGTCTAATATGTTAGGAGAAAAAAGTAAAGATAAGAAATATGGGTGCATGAATTTAGTGGTAAAACATGTATTGACAAACTTGAGTGTTTTGTCTGTTCATATCTTCCTTTCTCCTTTTATTAATAGTTCTGGAACTATTAAATATTTGAAATTAGGGTAAATTTCATTTTCCTCCTTGTACTTTGACTCGGTATCACTTTATCCCCTTCTACTCTTGATTGCATCAATTACCCCCTGCATTTAAATAATTGTTTCAATGCAGCCCTCGCAGTTAGTTGTACATTTGGCCTTAATACTGTTTTTTTTCTCTTTAGTAAACCTTAACACCGTTTGAACTAAGCTCTGAAATTACAAAAATGCAATCTCTCCCAGTTTAAATAATTATTAAAAAGACAAAAAAAATAATAATAAGAATAATAATAAAATAATAAAAAATTCAAAACAACGAGAAAATATAGCCCAACATTTATTTATTATTTAAACTGAGAGGGATGGTTTTTTTGTAATTTTAAGACTTAGATCAAATGGTGTTAAGGTTAAATGTCCGAAAACTAACGGCGAGAGCCACATTGAGACAACTTTTCAAGTACAGAGGGCAAATCAATGAAATTGAGAGTATAAGGGGGTAAAATAATATCGAGCCAAAGTATAGGGGAGAAAGTGGAATTTACCCTTGAATTTTACCCAAAGTTTCATAAATTATTCAATTTTGACAAAAACACAACTTTATGGAAAATTTCGTCCGTCACCGCCGTTGACTGCCGGTCTCCGGCTGACTCTTTTTTTTTTTCTTCCTGATTTTTCCGTCGATTTCTGACGTTGACTTTTTCGATTTTTTTTAATCGATGTGAATCAATGTTGTAATTTTAAAGAACAAATATTGTTTAATATTTGGTTTACCTTGCATATAATATGTGAAGGGTACACGGACATATAATATGTATAAATAAAAAGAGGGGATGTGATAAATGTCGTTTCAGTTGTAATAATGTTGTTTTGACTTCAAACGTGATTTTGACCGTTTTAAAGTTTGAATTGGGAAAAATTCAGAACATGGAATTTGTAGTTCTTTGAATTTGCTTTCTAATCTAACTTCAATCACCAAGATTGGATGTCAGTTTAGAAAGTTATGCATGAATCAATGAACACTGCCCACAACTTTGATGTTTTAAATTATGTAAAATTCAAAATGTAACTCATTCATGTGTAACTTTATCACCCGACATCCAATCTAGTTGATTCAAGTTGGATTGGAAAGCTAACTTAAAGGACTACGATATCCGTCTTTTGAATTTTGCCAAATTCAAATTAGAAAAGAGTCAAAATCATGTTTTAAGTCAAAACGATATTAGTAAAATTGAAACGACATTTAACATTTCAGATAAAAGAGGTACTCGTTACTAGCGAAGCCAGAATTTTAAATTCATGGAGGCCGATTACTTAAAAAAATTTATGGCCAATAATGGTACTATACACGATTTTATTTTTATTTGTATGGTACTATTTTATATATATATATATATATATATATATATATATATATATATATATATATATATATATATCAATACTAGTCTTCACCGGTGCGTTGCAAGGGATATTTTCATCATACAAATAAATATTTGATTTTAAAAAGTTCTTAAGATCAATGGTTGATGTGCAATACAAAGTAAAAGAAAAAAAAAATCTATTCCATATAAGTAAAGAATTAAACCAAAAGAGGTGAAAAAAACTAAATACCAGAGGTTTAATTTCCATCATAAAATTAACAATATCACTTTTTCCAGTCCATGCCCTTATATATTCTTCTCAGAAGTATCATATCCACTAGTCATTCAGCATAACAGCATAAACAAGAACCCATAAAAAAAAAAGGAAAAAAAGAAGGAAAGAAAAAAAAAAAAAAGAAAAAGAAAAAGCGGGAAAATGGAAATCTCCATTAGACATTATTAAAGTAAAGATGACAAAATAACACAAGAGAATCTGAACTTCAAGAGTAGAAGTCATCATCATATTATATAATCCGACCAATCAGATATATAAGAAGTATGATCCATGGACTCACCGGGAATCTCCTCATGCACCTTCGGCTGCTCCTTCCCTCCGACCAATCTCGCCGGAATCCCCACAGCCGTCGTCCGTGGCGGCACGTCCATCAGAACCACAGCCCCCGACCCTATCTTGGCCCCTTCTCCGATCAGCACATTCCCCAATATGGTGGCCCCTGCCCCGATCAACACCCCGTCTCCGATCTTGGGGTGGCGGTCCCCACCGGACTTGCCGGTGCCGCCCAGGGTGACGTGGTGGAGGATGGAGACGTTGTTTCCGATCACGGCGGTCTCGCCCACCACCACTCCGGTGGCGTGGTCGAAGAGGATCCCCTTGCCTATCCTGGCTGCAGGGTGGATGTCCACCGCGAACACGTCGGAGATTCGGGATTGGAGGGCTAGTGCTAGTGGCTTTCGGCATTGAGTCCACAGCTTGTGAGCCACTCGATGAGCCTACGGATAAAAAAAAAAAAATTATGTGCAATAAGAGGAAATAAATTGAGAGGGGAAACGAGAAAAGGAAAGAGATATTGTAGAATCAGCAGTGAAGTGTGTATATATGCAACTATTGAATGAGAAGTGTGCATAAGTTTGAAAAGAGAACCGTGAATCGAAATTTAAGTTCGTGCTCATTTAGCACGTATACAAATAGAAAGAGGGATGATTCAATCTTAGGGGTGGAAATCGGAGGGATCCGAATTAGCACTTTTGCTTTTGGAAAATTTCCAATTCCATTCAGGAAACTGGAATGGAAAAAATGTTCCAAAATCGGAAATTTTGGGACGGAAAAGCGGAATTTCTGAAATTCCAATTTCTTTTATCTTCTAGAATACAAAAATTATGATAATATTGATATTTTAAGTGTTATTTTCGGAAAATAGTCGAAATTTTCAGATATTAAAATCGAATCAGAAATAGGAATTTAATATGTATTACAATTCCATTAAAAAAAAATGGGAAAAATCGGATTTAGAAATTTAGGAATTCGGAATGAAAAATCATTCCAAAATCGGACAAATTTCGGATCGGAATTTCCGTATTTTTCTTCCAATTTCCACCTCTATTCAGTCTTGATGTATAAGACTTAACTATTATCGATCAAAAAATTAATGGTTGAGAACATATTTCTCTCAATAAATAAATGAAAAAAAAAATAGAATTTTGAAGATCTCTTTCAGCAAAAAAAATAAATAATATATGTTTTGACTTGTTAAACAATAGCAGACAAAACAAACAACTATCAGCCCACAGTATAATTTGAATGTTCATAGTGAGGAAAGTGGTGGAAATTAATTGAAAATTTAACCAACACACAATTTTTGAAATTAAGTGAAAATTAAAAACACGATTATGTTTAATTTAATAAAATAGATGAAAAATAACAATTAATAAAATATAGCAACAACTCAAAATTAATGTGTTTTGTGTACCTGGCAGGCGAAAAACCCTTGAAATTCAAAAGGCAGTGGGAGAAGGAAATGCAGGCGGGGTCGCGAACACGGGCGGCGCGTAGGTCAGCGACGGTGGCGGAGCGGATGGCGGCGTCGGCGGAGAAGACGTTGAGGAAGATATCATAGAGTAGGGTGGACAGCAGCGTAGAGGAGCAGAGCTTGTTGCCCAGGTGGAAGGAGAGAGAGCGCTCCAATGAGGAGTGAGCGAGTATGGTGGAGTACAAATAGCTAGCCAGAGCCGGCTCGGCTTCGGCGTCTCTCCGAGCCTCGGCTTTGATCTGTTCCCACAGCCACTTTTCTTCTTCCTCCGACCCCAGCGGCGGAGTTGGGTGGCGTAATTCTCCGGCTGGCATTGGTTGGGGGATTAATTAATTAATTAATGGACTTTTCTCTATGGTGGTGAGGCTTTTGTAAGTGGCTCGGTGATTTCATTTTAATGGCAGAATCCAATTGCATCAAATTTGAATTTTTTTTATATGGAATTTGTGCAATATTTAATTTTATGCTATAATCTATTGACACCAAATTGAATTTTAATATATAGAAAATTAAATTGTATCAAATTTGATTATATCAAAATTTACGTGGCGTGCGACATAAAATCGTTATATAATATTTCGAATTCAAATGTGATCATATTGACCTTTCTGAATAATCATGCTTGAAATACTATACATTGTCCCAACCAGGGACGCACCCACAGATATGTCTTGGGGCATCCGCCCCTGCAGGATTTTTTTTTTTTTTTTTTTTTACCAGTTTTTTACTATTTTTTAATATTATTATATTATTATCTATTAATTTATATACTTTAGAGTAGGGCCGGAAAAAAAATACCGATTACCATATACCATGGTATACCAACCAAGGATTACCGAAACAACGGTTACCATTGTCTACGGTACGGTATTAGTACCGTACCATTACAATATGGTACGGTATTGGTATTGTATTTCTAATACCACGGTAATACCGTACCGTACCGCAATTTACATTTTAATCCGATTAATATATTTTTTTTCGATATTATTTTTTGTAATTCTATTTTGATTACTTTGAAGCTTATAAATGGCATCAATTATTTTTTCCTTAAGTTAGTGGTAGTGTATTTGTTTTTTTTTTCTTTCTACAAAGTTGAATTTTGTAATTGAACATATATGTTCTACTAAATTGTCTTTTATGTTTCTTATAGCCAACTAATTTTTGTTACATATGATGCATGAATATTTTATTCTTTTACCTAAATGTATGTATAGCATTAGTAAAGTATTTATTGTATGTAATAATTATTAAGTACAATCAAGTTCCTAACAAATACCTAGTTGTTCCATTAAACAACATTTACATTATCATGGTATATGTTCTTCTTTCAATGAAGAAAATTATGTTTTTTATTCTGATTATATACCGGACCTTCTTAGAAAATAAGATATAACTCATACAAGAGTAACTAGAACTATTTTCAATTATATATATATATATATATATATATATATATATATATATATATATATATATATTCAAGTCATTTGTTCTTTAATCTTTGATGCATCACCAAGTACGGTAGAATACCACGTACCGATTGTACCGTACCGAAAATAACGGTATACCGAACATTGGTATACCGAACTTTTTGGTACGGTAACGGTATGAAATTTTTCAATACCGCAATGTACGGTAGGTACACGGTATTGAGCAAAATGTTTGGCAACCGTACCGAATCCACCCCTACTTTAGAGTTTAGCCTCAAAATTATTATTTTATACTTTTAGTCCGAAAAAATATTTCTACGACCCCACCCAAAATCTCCTCGGTCCGCCCTGATCGCAACTCCATTTATGGAATCACTTTAATATATCTTTTGCTTCCACACTTAAATACATACTCTTCAACCATTTGACATACAAATACACACAATTACGTATAAAAATACGAAATCTATCGAAAATGGTATGGAAATTGAAAAATAACTAGTGGAACGGGTAAGAATCGAAGTATAAAATTGAATTCGTGCAATTTTTAAGTCGAAGGAGTAACCATCAATTAGACCATATATATGTACAACTACACAATATAAACTTCACAAATTGTGAACCAAAATTAAAGTTGCATTAGGGGAATGCATGCAACAATTAGGTTTTATGCATCCCTCTTGTGTGTGTTTTTCAATCCTTTGATTTACGAAAACCACGAATCGTCTTTTTACGTCTCAAAAAAGTACGATTGTCTTTTGTTGTTCCCGATACATAAAACGGGTAGTGAATTTAGTAAATTGGTTGAACAAATTAATTAGTGAAAATACGGAAAGATTAGCCGAGGCAAGTTGACTCTGTCCTTAAGACGAAATTTCCCCGCAACGGTGCTAACGGATTAAATGGAAATCGTCTCCCAAGATACAACGGCAAAACTTGGAATAGGAGCACTCCAAATCCCAAGTACGACGAACTGTACTTTGTGTAGAACTTTTGGAGAGAATCTGTGAAGGGTAGGCTTAATATGTAGTAGGCTTGTTTTTGGATTGAAGTGTTGAATTTTGGGAAAGTTAGGGTCTATTTATAAGGTTCGAAAAGTAGTGTCTTTTGGAGAAAAAAAAGGTACCTTTTGTTTGAATGGTTGCACCATTTCGAGTTGAGCCAATTGGGAGTGGTTGCATCATTTCGAGTTGAGCCGAATGGTTTGCATTGGTTCGGCCGCACCAATTCAGACCAGTCAGACCAATCGAGATGGGCTTCGAGTAATAAGGGCCCAATGGGTTAAAAGCCCATGATCTAATGTTTTTGGCCCGTCCCAATAATTTGATATATATTCAGCTCAGTACTTCTCTACTTTTCCAATGTGGGATAACTCAAAATCCCACTTTCCTTATATTTTGGACTAGTAATTTTTTCATTCACCACAAAATTGGTTCTAATCCAAAATTCATTATATACTCAATTAGACCGTACAATAACATTGATAAAAAATTGTTCATGACTCAATTTTTAACCAATTTTCCCAACAATCCCCCACATGAATGAAAACGAGGGCGTCGATTCTCTCTAGAGTTCCCGCGAATAGTATTGCATCGGGATAGGTAGCATATAGCTTTGAACCTTCCGTAGTGGAGTTACATCGGATTTACTAGGCTGAGTAGTGAACGCGATGTCTTGAACTGTCAGCCGTTCGTGTAAACCAAGACAATGTAACCCACACAATACTATTCTCACATTTCCTTAGTTCTCATGATTGTGTCCGTTTTGGCCATGGACACACATCTTGGATTCATAAGTGTTTGTCAAGTTTTTGAAGCGGCCCTCACTTCATACACTTACATAGGTGATCTCCTATTAAAGGTATCCTGCCAATACCTCACCTTTTGTTATAAGGTTTTGGAATTATTAAAAGCTTTCGCTTATCCTTTACCCTCTCTGCAGGCAGCACTAATGTCTATTACGGGAATGAGTTGGAAATATATTATTCCATAGGAATATATACTCCTTAGTGCATCACTGAACTTTCTTAGCTTAGTTGTCCCTTTTGAACCAGTTCTTGGGATCTCCAGTGAGCATGGTTGGGTTACCACCAAGATTGTCCTTAATTTATGGGTTTTAATCTCACTCCCCTAGACAAGCAATATGTTTGATCTCTTTAGTTGACTTTTAGTCGCGGATCCGCTATTAACCATTGAAATGTTATATTATTTCTTTTGAGATCAATTGTCTAATGGTCTTATGTGTACGAGTGTATCGATACTTGCCATTATACATGTCGTTTGTGCCCTTAACGTAACCGATTGGTTATCACAATTTATTCATAATTGTAGACACCGACTTAGTCCAACACGGAACACCCTCCAATAATTTTATGAAGTTTATTCAACTTCTTTTCTAACCTTATCTCAAGTTATACATTCGAATTCGACCATGAATCGAGCTATTCAATTTAGTTTGAGGATTTCCAAGATACATAATCTTAGTGGACTCATACATCCAATGTTCTTTCCTAATACAATTGGATATTTTCTTTAATGTAATCCATTTAAAGGCGATACTTAGATTACCTAAGAACCCTTATAATATCATTGAATGATTATTTATTTTGGAATTACATATTTACTAGTTTGCAATTCATTATGCTGCCAAACTATCCAAAAATATTTGTAATTGAACCATTGTTCATCATTATTTTTGGCAAGGTAAACCCTTGGTCTTTAGATAACTAGATCAATTTTCTAGTAGTGTCTCAACATGAGACTTTCAATAAGACTATCTTTGTCTTAGTGATTTTAATCTATACGATTACATCGTCTAGACCCTTCGTCTTTTGACATCAAAAATTTTATTTTTACTTTTCCAATATTTTCTCAACGTTCAAAATAGTATCATGATCACTATCTCATGATTATAATGTCGTCTATAGACATATACTTCCATGTGCTTTTAATATAAACACACTGGCTACACTCGTTATTACGAGAATTACTAACACAATTTTATCAAATATTACTTCAGAATATTTTCATAGTTATTTAATTTAGCTTGATATTACAATGTTATAAATAATCAAGATTTTCCATAGCTATTTAATTTAGCTTTATTGGACCACCCTTAATCATTCCTTTGAATAGTCCATCAAAACCTTAATGGTTTACTACTTGGAAGAAGACAAACTAACTTCCACGTACATTCTTCCAATGTAGACGATATTTCAATAATTGTCCTTTGTTCATTTTATAACTCATAAATTATAAAATCAAATCAAAATCAAACATATTGATTTTCTTTGTCATCTTGTTGTATCTTGGTTGTTCATCACTTTGATGATTTACCAATCACACATATTTTAACTTGGTTGTTCATCACTTTGATGATTTACCACTTAGACATTTATTAGTTCTCTTATTTAGAACTTATTTATTTTCTTATTTTACAAGAAAGATATAATGTAATTTGCATCAAGAATGACTATCTTATGCACAATCATTATTTACATATTCAATGAATATGCTTAAGTATTTTATCACTTAACTATACTAGGCGTTATATATTAACTTAGGTACTTTTTTTTACCTTTGCCTAAACACCCCCACATTTCTAAATATTTATGTGGTTAGGGTCTAAAGACACCCACATTTCTAAATATTAATGTGGTTAGCTCGGGATAAAGACCCCCACACATTCTAGAGTATGTATTCTAGAATTTATCAATATGATATTCATAAACTTTTTCCAAAGTTTTAGTTCTCATTTCTTAATTCATTTGTCAAAGTTGGCACTTTCCAACTTTCATTCACATAGCATTTAAATGCTTTGAGATCCTTATTTTTATTTTTATTAATAAGGATACAACATATAACAAAATACATCTTCTTTTGTTAGAAAAATATATTGGATCACCAACATATTTATTTACAAAGTATTGTATTCTTTCTCTCAAGAAAGCACAGAAAGAGAAATCTTCTCAAGATACTTAAATCTTGTCAACAAATCAGATTTCTTCATTTTCCTCAAAAGAGAAAACCCGTCAAGATACTTAAATCTTGTTAATAAACAAGAGAATATTATTCTCTTCAAATGGTGGTTGATCTCCACTATTCAATATTAACGTTAGAATATACAAATTCTAATTTTAATCGTTCATAATTTAGGATTGTATGTCCTAAACATGCCGTTCAAAATTCAGCCAAATCCAACGATTTAATTCTACAAAACAAGCTCTTAAGTAAATTGCTCGAATTTTATTTCAACAAAGCATTCATTGTTGTTTACAATTATTTCGGATGTTTGGAAATCAAAATCCGATCTCATCCATTCACATTGTAGATCATCACATTGTAAATGTGATATCAAAAAATCAAATTGAACCAACGATTCGATCTTCTCTTATGTTCTTGAGACACGAACTACTCATGTGCTCTCATGAATTGAGCTTCTCTTTCTTTCTATTTTATTTCAATCACGCTTTTAATTAAACAATAGTATGATTCATATATAAAACATATGTACATAAATATTGTAATAAACATAATATATGACATGTGAGCACGACGTTCATACTAGTTGATCATAGAAAGAAACAATATATCAAGCATATTATATCAACATATAGTATACACACTAGTATATAATAACATCAAGTTTGAACATAATATTTCATGCCATAAATTAGTTCATGTCCAACATAATGAATTGATATAAATTTTATAGCACGTAATCAATACTTGTCCATGCAATAACACAATTATGATGAATTAGTATGGTTTACGCAAATAATAATATGGATACTAATATTCCTCTTACTAAGTAACTCATACTTAATATACGAGACAAGTCTAATCGTTCATAGATAATATTAAAAACGTTAATAAGATCACGTACTCACGAATTTCATATAACATATTCGAAAATCTATCAACTGAATGGTTCCACATCAAATGAAAATTGGGAGAAAGCTAATCCCCTATCAAAACTATATGCAATTTATGCAAATAAATATTGCATTTTCATAAGAAATGTCATGTAGTACAGCACATATCATGATGTTTATAGTACACTTATTCAAATAATTAACATATATGCTATCACTTTATTGCATTTAGGATAAAAATATTTCTATTATTAATGTACATGCAACAAATTTAATGAATATTCATTAAGCATATATATTGTATATGGTTCACCATGCTTCGACATAGAAAATTAGACTATCATGCAACAATCCACCATTATATCATATAGCATTATCAATATATTGCACAAATAGATATCTTATAATTAAAAATCGTACCCGATAAATTATATGTTCGTCAATTCAAAATTTTGTGGGTAGCACCAAATCGTGTCAATATTATGGCAGTGCTGAATAATTTATTCATATCTCTTCCGTCCCAAGTCCGATTTTGTTGATTCAATATGATCCGAACAGCCAACACATTTTTCTACAACTTTTATCTTTTACGTTTTCTGAGATTCGGACTGGATCATGATCAAAATAAGCCTCGAAGTCGGAATAGGTGTGCTGTAAATTTTCACCTACAATGGAACCAGAAAAAAAAAATTAAATAATATTCATGAATCAAAAATAATATAAAACCTCATTATTGATGTTCGATTCAGTCTTCTTTCACCAAAATTTCGTGCATTGGACATTGGTGATGCGTTAATATGCGACGAGTTACATTGGTCACGAACGGTTGTATTTTTCATGAAAATGTGCATCGGCAGTTCTGCCACCCTTTCGTGTTTTCATCATAACTTCCTCGTACGATCTCCGATTGTGACGATTTAACATGTTCTGAAAAGCTAACTTGATTATCTACAACTTCTGTGAAATGTTAATTTGCCATATTCGGACTTTAACACCTTCGAAAATGGGCAAGAATGTGGACTTCATGTTCTGTCCGAAAATGAACTTTCTCCAATTGTATTTTGTAACTTCTTGATTTTTTTTTTTTGCAGACTATCTTCTTCTCCATCTCGTTTACCAACGTGTGCAGAAAACACAATTTACTAAATCACAAAAATTTCGTCTTAAGATTGTTGTTCCCGATACATAAAACGGGTAGTGAATTTAGTAAATTGGTTGAACAAATTAATTAGTGAAAATACGGAAAGATTAGCCGAGGCGAGTTGACTCTGTCCTTAAGACGAAATTTCCCCGCAACGGTGCTAACGGATTAAATGGAAATCGTCTCCCAAGATACAACGGCAAAACTTGGAATAGGAGCACTCCAAATCCCAAGTACGACGAACTGTACTTTGTGTAGAACTTTTGGAGAGAATCTGTGAAGGGTAGGCTTAATATGTAGTAGGCTTGTTTTTGGATTGAAGTGTTGAATTTTGGGAAAGTTAGGGTCTATTTATAAGGTTCGAAAAGTAGTGTCCTTTGGAGAAAAAAAAGGTACATTTTGTTTGAATGGTTGCACCATTTCGAGTTGAGCCAATTGGGAGTGGTTGCACCATTTCGAGTTGAGCCGAATGGTTTGCATTGGTTCGGCCGCACCAATTCAGACCAGTCAGACCAATCGAGATGGGCTTCGAGTTATAAGGGCCCAATGGGTTAAAAGCCCATGATCTAATGTTTTTGGCCCGTCTCAATAATTTGATATATATTCAGCTCAGTACTTCTCTACTTTTCCAATGTGGGATAACTCAAAATCCCACTTTCCTTATATTTTGGACTAGTAATTTTTTCATTCACCACAAAATTGGTTCTAATCCAAAATTCATTATATACTCAATTAGACCGTACAATAACATTGATAAAAAATTGTTCATGACTCAATTTTTAACCAATTTTCCCAACATCTTTTGAATAGTTCGTCGCACAATAATATAACTTATTGTAGTCGACCGACATGATTTTTGGAAGAAGCTGCGCACGTTGCGTCTACATAAATATTCCGACTAGGTTTTTCGAAAACTCAAGTCTTTTGCGTACGTCGTCGGGCCTGCGTTCGCCATTGTTTCTTTTGTTCCACGCATAATCGTAGCACTCTATAAGCATCTCCTTCTCGGTTTCCTCCGCCTCCTCCTTGCTCTTCATCTATACATACATGCATGCATGCATGCATACATACATACATACATAAATAAAAAAATATACAACTCCAAGGGACCTGGCTGTAATTAAATGAACTTACAGGGGCCCATCTGTAAACAATCGAGAATCCTCTGGAAAATACGTCGGAAACTAGTAACCCGTTACTTTCTAAATGGGCACCGTTGCGGCCATAATCCTGTAGCCGGTTCCGAATGTTTTCGGTTTGTCCGACGTAAACGGGAACCAAGATTATGATGCCGGAATGTCGTCGGAGGACGAGTGCAACGGCAAGCTCGTAAACCCCCGGCGAACAAGCGCAGTTCGGGAGGTTGTGTGTTCTGTACCTCTCCGCTCCTTCTTTCCCCATCGCATGTTCTTTCCAATCCATCGATCCTATTAAAATCTGCACGAAAAGTCGAAAATACAATTATTGAGAGAGAGAGAGAGAGAGAGAGAGAGAGAGAGAGAGATGGTACTTTTGCTTTTGCATGCTAACCTTCCATTCGGAGAAAGCAGAGTCATACTTTGTATGCCTACAATCTTCTCTCTTAAGTCTTCGGGCTGGGGCGGCGTCATACTTTGTGTGGCTGGAATATTCTCTTCGGGCGGAGGCGAGGGAGATGTGTGCGGTGGGGGAAGTTCTTATTGACGATGAGCCGGAGGAGTCTACCGTTGTATTAATAATGCGTGGTTTATGATGATGCAATGGCTTCTTGAATGTGAAAAGACAATTATGCCCAGTGGCGGAGCCACCCTTTGGCAAGGGTGGGCTCCAGCCCACTCTCATTATTTAAAAATTTATACTATATATTATATCTATATATAATTAGCCCCCCAAATAGTTTAATTTAGCCCACCCAAGTAATTTAGTTTAGCTTATCTATCAAAAAATTTATGTTATATTAGTTGAAATTTATAATTTGTGGTTATTTTATGCTATTTTATGTTAATGAATAAAAAAAAAAATCGGGGGCGCTGCCCCCGAACCCCGTCAATGTTAAGCCCACCCACCCAAGTAATTTAATATAGCTTATATTAGTTTAAGTTTATAAATTTGTAGTTATTTTGTGCTATATTTTTATGTGAATGAATCAAAAAAAAAAAAATCGGGGGCGCTGCCCCCCAACCCCCGTTAATGTTAAGCCCACCCTGTCTCGAATTCCTGGCTCCGCCACTGATTATGCCCATGATATTCAGTACTATTGAACCTTGAAATTAATGCAGCGTAGGGTAGTTGCCCAAACTTGATGCGCATCATCATATTATTTATTCATGATATATAGAAAGTTCTGTGCATGGAAGAAGAAAGTTTGGAGAATGGTAATTTAGAGAGAGAAAATGGAGCGTGAGGGTTATTTTAGAGAGAGAAGTTAAAATAGAAATGGAGAACGTACGTGAGCTTGTGAATACAACCGTTCAAATTTGAGATTTTGGCGGGCTGTTAATTTCTTTCAAATACCCACTACTAACAATTACCCCCAAAAAAAGAGAGAAATAAAATATAGTAATATAATTAAATTAAACGCAACGTTAGAACACGCTCGATCGACGAGGATACTCAACGACGGAGTCGGAGTTCTAGGTGAAAGGAAAAAAAACATTGGATTTTTTTTTTCTTTCTAATTTACTCTTGATTGTATGTGTAGGTTTTAACTTGGAACTCGATTCAGATGGCTCGATGAAACTAGTCCTTTTATTTATATATATCTTTGTTTTAATGGAGTGTTATAAACTATTTTGTTTTTATTTATTTGGACGTTATGGAATTTTTTATTGAGGTAGCATGATTTTGTTGGAGTGTTTTTCGATCTATATTTGATGGTTACGATTTGATTTATAATATAAATTTTAAATTGTAAATTTTGTTGTTCATGTTGGTGAATTTTTTTTTATTTTTTTGGTATAAATAAACGGTGATATTCATTAAAAATATATGGTTAATGAGATTTGAACCGTAGATTTGATTAAATAATTACTCACTAAACACACATGTATGTATGTGATTATGTGTTAATCTACTGTTCAAATCCACCAAGTGTAAATAACCAGGTACGTTTAGCATCTTATTTTCTCTTATTGAGGTTAAGGGCGGCCATGGGTGCGACAACCATGGCCCACGCCCCTAGCTCACGCGTGAACAAACCAAAAAGAAAAAATCCGGATATTTTAACTTTTTTGTATGTTTATATTATTTTAGAGATTAAATTCTGAGCGGATGAGCCGACATTTAATATAAATCGGATTCCACTAATTTTTTGACATGTGGCACTTTTAAATCTAACTCTTAATAAATCACGCTATTATAACTATTATAATTAGGATTAGAGGGGTTACGGGTTCTGTTGGGGTTTCTTTTTTTCTTTTTTTTTTCAATTATTAGAATGCTAATTATATTTTAATTTAAATTATCCACTCGTCAATCATCCTATGGCATTCGATTTTCTTATTAAAACAGACCATTCGGTCTAAATTTGCACCCATTATTTTATATAATTTATAGTGTTATTCTATAAATTTAAATTAAAAATAGATGACCATTTTAGAATATAAAAATATTTATAACATTTAAATTATTTTATTCATTAATTATATACTTAAAATATCATTGCATTATATATATATATACAATATTATAATGGCCCTTCCAGCGAACTAGCATATTATTTAGGCTGAAATTTTGCCCACGGTCTCACAATATTCCAACCAGACCTTGGCTAAGATACGCCGATGGTCTTATATCATACATCAACATACAATCGCATACATACACATGTGAATGTGTATAAACGTGGATAATTCACTATTTAGGTCTACGCTAAAATCACAGTCGATGAAATTCACCAGATGTAAGCTCGAACAAAAAAATATTATATATAGTTTCTCTAACAATTTTTATTTATTTGGGAAAAGTCTTCCATACCCATAAACATGTATAGAAAGAGAAAGTACAATAATACTTTAATCTAGAGAGAGAGAGAGAGAGAGGCACTATTTATTATTTAATTACGGAATCTATTTGTTGTTACGTGTGAATTGTGATTGTGGGCTCTTTAACGTACTAAACTTCAAACTTCGTATGTCACTTCCAGCTCTCAAAAGTTTGTTCAACTTTCGCTTTCTCCACACATCAATTTCAGCTTTCTCTAATGGCGTTTTCCCCCATTTGTCTTTCTTCTTATCATATTCAAATAATTTGTTGAGTTGAAAAAGTTTGCCCATGTAAATACAAAAAACCCACCAATCTGCAGGCTCTGCGCCATCTTAGCATCTTTTCAAGCCTACTAGCTAAACTCCACACCACCTTTTTCCTTACCCTTTTGCTTTCTGTTTCGATATCACATTTCGCACACCAACTGTTTGATAAAAGTCCCTTTCAGTTATTGACTTTTTTTCATGGCACCTTTTTCAGTCCAATCAAGTTGATTTCTTTTTCCCTGTTTCTGCATATTTATCAAGATTCTTGGCCCTGTTGATTCAACCCTTTTGGGGAAATCAAGATTCTTGATGTTTTTGAGCAAGAAAAAACTGAAATTGGAACGAAGAATATCGAGTAATTTTGATGGTTTTAGAGGCGTAATTTGAGAGGAGTGGGGTCGATTTTTCTTCTACTTGAGATGAGTGTGATTAGGCAGAAAAGTTCCACTAATAGAAGCAGCTTGGATGTTGTTGTGAAGAGCAGGGTTATTGTTGCTGTTAAGGCTTCTAAAGAAATTCCGAGAACTGCTCTTAAATGGGCGCTAACCAACGTCGTTCGGAAAGGGGATTGCGTTAGGCTTGTAGTGATCATTCCAAGTCAAAGCTCAAGTAACAACATCTTATTTTTCTGCTTTTTAATCCATGTCAATCATTTAACCTTAAATTGATTTAACAAATGTTGCTTGTACTGTAATCATTCTTATTTTTGTAATAAAAGAATGCAATTCAGAACATTAACGTAGTATTTTGTGTTTTTTTTTTTATCAGGTAAAAAACTATGGGGTTTTCCGAATTTTCATAACGATTGCACAGCTGGATACTCGAGATTCATGTCAGGAACAATTCTCGAACAGAAGGAGTATATAACCGATATATGCAACCAAATGATACGCCAGCTCCAAGATATTTACGATCCACAAAATGTATTTTATCGATGTTTATAGTCGACTCTTTCTTTTACACTAGTCAATTTAATAGCTATTATTCATTGCTATTGTAGATTACTGTGAAGATGAAAGTGGTTTACGGGTCTAAAGATGGATTAGTGGCTTCCGAAGCCAAGAGAGCTCAATCACAATGGGTTGTATTGGACAAGTAAGATGCTCGATCAATTTTTTTTTTTAATTCTTTATAAATGAATATATTCAAGATTCAAAAACCATTCGACAGAGGTATGAAAAAGGAAGGGAGTATTTGCCTGGAGCAGCTCGACTGTAATGTCATAGTTGCTAAAAACTCCGAGCCCAAAGTTCTTCGGTTGAACTTGACAGAATCAAGAAACACTGAAACTGAGGTGCTTCATAGTCCAAAATCGCGTCTTGAGGGCGATTTCGACCTTTTGAATACTATCAAGGTTCCGAATGTGACTCCAACAACTAGCCCGGATAATAGAATATCCTCGATTTCAACCTTAGACATGTTCGCCTCTCCAACTTTCATGTCTGAAATCAATTGGGAACCAAAAGTGAAGCAGATTTTCTTGCCACAAACATTCGGAAATTACGACTTTGGCGAATCCGAATCTGAATCCGAGTCAAACAGTGATAATCGAAGCTCTCTTTCGACAAGTATGTCTTCACAGCATTGGATGGAAGACATTCTGAGTTCGGCTGACGAAGGTCTAAATAGATCCAGCAGTAAAGGACAACAACCTAGTACAAATCAAGATTCTTGCAAGAATATGAGACAAATGATATCACTAAACAAAAAGGTACCCACGGATTCCCCTCCGCTCTGTTCGCTATGTCAGCACAAAACACCCTACTTCGGAAAACCCCCTAGGCTGTTTTCGTACGCTGAGCTGGCACGAGCCACGAGTGGATTTTCGGAGGCTAATTTTTTGGCCGAAGGTGGATATGGTTCCGTACACCGTGGGGTCTTATCAAACGGTCAAGTCGTAGCTGTGAAGCAACATAAATTAGCTAGCAGTCAAGGCGACCGTGAATTCTGCTCGGAAGTACAAATGCTGAGCTGCGCACAGCATCGAAATGTCGTAATGCTGATTGGATATTGCGTGGAGGATGGAAGAAGATTGCTCGTTTACGAATATATATGCAATGGATCTTTAGATTCACATCTTTATGGTACCTTCTTTTTTTCTTTTCTTTTTTTCTCTGATACTAAATGTGCACTATCAATCAAGAATGTTTATTTAATTATTATTATGATTTTAAATTAAAATTGTAGGGTGTAATAAGAATCGACTGGATTGGGATGCGCGTAGAAAAATTGCAATAGGAGCTGCTCGAGGATTGAGATACCTACACGAGGAATGTAGAGTGGGATGCATAGTGCATCGAGATATGAGGCCAAACAACATTCTCCTCACACATGATTTCGAGCCATTAGTATGTCATCACCTATTAATTTTATTTAATTATATCTATTAAGTACCATCTTCTAATTCATTTTTTCCGCTCTTTTATTATATATAAAAAAAGGTTGGAGATTTCGGATTAGCAAGGCTACAACCGGACGGACATTCGGGTGCTGAGTCGAGAATAATCGGAGCGTTTGGGTATTTAGCACCGGAATATGCTCAAACTGGCCAGGTCAGCGAGAAAGCTGATGTGTACTCTTTTGGTGTGGTGTTGGTGGAGCTTTTCACGGGTAGGAAAGCCGTGGATATAAACCGGCCCAAGGGAGAGCAGTGCCTCACTGAGTGGGTACGATTTAAAGAAAAAAAAAAATTTAAAATTAAAATAAATATCAAACCTACTACTTAAATGTGTATACTCTAAGTCCTCGTTTGGTTGGTAAGATAAGCCATAAATATAAATACTTAAATAGCAGAACTTTATTTGGTGTTCGGTTAGTCCATTAACTTTCCTGACCGGCTCCAGGCCACGAAGTTTTTGATAAAGAATGAGCCGTAATAATAAGATTGCAATAATCTTATATTATCTTATCTAATTCCGTTGAGGCAACCAAACGAGGCCTAATTTTTTATTTTATTTATGTCAATTGTGGAGTAGGCACGGCCTCTGCTAGAAGAGAACTCCCTTTGGGAATACGTTGATCCGTGCTTGATGAATTGCTATTCGGAGAAAGAGGGTCGGGAAATGCTGCTTTGTGCTATGTTTTGTCTGCAACGAGATCCTCAATTAAGGCCTCGAATGTCTCAAGTAAGGAAAATAAAAAGTTTAATTTATTGTTTAAGTACATTTTAAGCATGTGGAAAATGGACTGAATTAAATGACCAAATTGTTTGTGAAAAAAAACTATATACAGTTGAACATTTAGTAGGTTTTTACTGAGTCGGGACGAGAAGAAATTATTATTTAAGCGAGATTATTAATTTATCGAGATTCTACCTTATGTTTCTGCTTTGTGTAGGTACTTCGGATGTTGGAAGGTGACATTTTGACAAAATGAAACTTAGGCATTTGGCATATATTGCAGATGCTCAAGAAAAATGGTGAAATGCACCATTTCCCATTATGTAGAGTTTAGACAATTATTATTATTTTTATTATTTTTTTTATATATAATTCTTGATTGGGATTGATTGGTGTATAGTGTAGCCTTATGAAGTATAGCAAATATGGATTGCTATTGTTTGAATTGAGTTGTTTGAGAAGAAAATTTCAACTCGTTTTTAGTTGTTTTTTGAGTTGTTGCGGTAAACTTCAAACCAATTTTCATTTGGAGTCATTTGAATTCTTGCTCACTTAAACTCGTTTTAAATTCATTCATTTCTCTACAAAACCAAAAAAATCAATTCATTTCAAAAATTTCTATCCAAGTGCAACCTAAAGGTCAAACGTCACCATAATCAAAACATATACGGACTATCGGCATGGTATAGCTCAGTTGATTATAAGGTGGCAAGTTGGTGCTATGTCGTAGGATCGAATACTGACAACCGCAGTTTGAAAATTTCAACTCAAATGATATTTAGTTCATTGTGGGCACCAGACCCGGATCTACTACCCTAACAGGTCGTTAAGTCACCATATTTATATTCTCCATCAAAATCTGTCAGGCCAATGAATGAGGGCATTGGGGCGAGGCGCCTAAACATATATGGAGCCTTAATTTGTTATTTACTAACAATTAACTCATTTGACTAATGAAATATAAATAATAAAAAAATGAGAGTCAATTTTACAGTTTAGCACTCTTAATTAGTTGAAAATGAAGCATTGAAAACGATAATAATGAGAAAGGTTATTTTAGTAATTTTTTAAGGTGGGCAAATTTGAAAGATTACATTTGTCCGTGAACTCGGCCCAATTCAATTTAAGCCCAGCCCGATATTTGCATTTTAGTTTTAGATTAGAGATTCGCGTGCGTGTTTCCTCGTTGATGATCCAAAGCCCGATTCTTCTCAAAACCTCCTGCAGCCAATCACCACCGCTAGGCTCCGGCATCGGCGCCGGCAATCACGGTGTTTCTATCGACCACCGAAAGGTAATTCGTTTTCTCTCTCTTCACTCTTTCATCAATAGCTTCTCTTTAGTATTCGTTTCAATTTTACCTGCAAAATCAAGTTTTTTTTTTTAGATTAAAAAACAAAATTTGCTCGACTTTTACTTTCTGTTGAATTTCATGATTGGATTATCTGTTTGTCATCTGCGAGTTTCGGATTCTGATTTTGTTGTAATAAACCTTTTTGAAATTTTGCGGACTGTAAGGAAGTGAATTTTACTGCTGTATTTTCTGCCATAGAATTGACCTCCGTTCACTTCCTCAATCCCATGGCAAACTCAAGGCTTCTTCACGTGCCTGACAATCCGATCCACCCAATCAAGCACGTGGCTCGAAATTTAGTTAGTTGGAGGATACGGATTCTGGATCTTTTAAGTATCGAATTTACGAGTGATTAGTCTTGATTTTGGTTGCTATATGTAGCTCTAGTGTGTTATCTGGGCACGGACACGTTTTAGATCTCGAGCAAGTGCTTTGTTTTCGAGTTCCAAATTGGCACGGAAAATGGATGCTTATGATGCAATTACAGATATCTCGATGTATTTGAATTTTTCATAAATAGTAATCATTAAGGCCTCGTTTGATTGGGGAAATTAGCCATGATTAACTAAATAATTGGACTTTGTTCGATGTTTTGTATTCCCAATAACTTGTCGGATCGACCTGCAAATATTATGTTATCATGTCTTATCTTGCCTTCTAGGCATGTTTTTTTATTGGATCGTCGAAAGTCTTCTATTAAATTATTTAATCTTATCTTAGCAACCAAATGAGGCCTAAATGAATTGATAATTAGTTTCTGCATGCCAACTGCAATATAAGGAAGATGCTACCTTTATTAATTAGACCTACTTAGAACAAAAGGATTGGGAGAAACAAAATGCTGCATGTCCGTCGATGATTGCACTTGCTTGTCTGCTGTTTTTGGTGATAAATGTTTTCTTTTCATCGATACAATGAATAAAAACCACTGTATTCCTTAGAGCGTGTCACCTGTCATTGTGGAAGTTGTGATGTTTTGCAACAATTTGTTTCTTGATCAACTTTAAGAAGAATAATAGCTAAAAAGAAAAGACATTTAGTATTCTTGGTCTGTGTAATAACGGGTCGGCTACTCGTTGGAGAAATATGTTGAATTAGACTCTCTAAAGTAAAAATATCCCATCAGTTTATCATGGATTGTAATTTAAACGTCTCGTTGTTGCTTCATTGTTTTTGGCAAAAAATAATTTTCAACTTAGTGTGAGTCTTTTGTATCTGTGTGTTGATTTAGTTGTTATTGAAATAAATAAATTAATGAACTATTAATCGAGCGATTTCTGTTAATCTAAAACCCTTTTCAGTTTTATGCAACAGACATGAACCCACAAGATCGTTGAGTTCTATTGTAGAAGATTGTCTTGCATGTATGTGCGTAAGGAACTATTATAATTAATGGAGTTGGCAGATCTTACGGTTATCCAGAACGATAGGGTTCGGGTGAAGAGGAAAACCTTAGAGGCGGTGCTTCAGCAATGCCAGCAGGCTCTCGAACAACTTGCCTCTGGCTGCAATGACGATGAAGATGATGATGATGAAAATGTTGATGGCCAACTTGATGTTCCGGAAGATTCTGCGGGGCCCTCCTCTGTTCCTGCCAGTTGTGATACTGATACATCCGAGGTGAAGGTTTTGCTCACTTTTCTTATGGGTTTTATGTTCTCTTTGTGGTATTGTATATTATATTTAATTTATCTTTCGAAATGCTTCCAGATATTTACGAGATTAGACAATTTGCTTTTGATTGCTTTGCTATTAGTCGGCATGTGAGCTCATTCATTGGTGTTATGAGGTCGAGTTCAAGAATATAGCCTCGATTATGTTCATAATAGTTCTTGCAAAAAACATTTCCCTGAAGAAAGGGATGAAACACAGTTCAGACATATATCTTCGCACATTCTAAATCTCATTTGCTTTGCCTTTCTGCAGTTTTACGACCTTTTGAAATCGAGAGTTGAAGGTCCCGATTTCCTCAAGAAACTAGAAGATGCCCAGGCATCTCTTCCAGAAAACATTGCTGGTATGACACTTCAAAAACTACTGCTACATTTACAGTTTATTAATATCCGACTCTTTTTTTTTCTTAAAAAGGGAAAAAAAAAGAAAAGCGATGAGAGAAAGGACTCTCTCTCGCGTATTAAATGCAAACTTATATTATTTGCATTACCTAATGATGCAGAAGAAGGCAGTTCTTGGGACATGATCAGTGAGAATGACCTTTGGGAAGGCGGAAACGTAGAGGCGGACCCAGACGATTATGTTTTAGTCGGCGAAGAAGATATAATGGATGGCATTGCTTCTTTCATGGCTGCATACTTGTTATCCCTTAAACAGACTAAGGTGCCGATGATTTTAACCTTGTTAAATTATATACGTGCACTATGTGCTCCCCCCACATTGCTTTGCTATAATCATTCATTGACGAGTTATTGACTTCCAACTGTATAAACGTTCACTTTTACTGAGATATTTGTCAATTTTTTATTTTGCAGGATTTGACACCAAACCAACTTCAAGCAGGCAAGTAGTCACATTTTACAACTTCGCATCATATTTTGAAATATCTAATCTGTTTGTTAATTTCCGACTTATGATCTCCACTGCGCATTTTAATCCTGGATAAAATATTTAAGGGCCATAAATTTATTCCCAATTTTCGTTTCAGCTCTGAGCAAGACATTCTCTATGAAGAAGAAGAAGGGTAAGCTTCAGAAAGCTTGGGATGGAAGCAAAGTAATTTACAACGTAGCTTCTTGGGGAGCTACAGCCATTGGGTGAGCTTTCTTAAACCTAATTCTCACATTACAATTTATTTATTTATTTATTAATAATTATTTATTGCCTTGTTTAATGGTGTTTGTATGGAACAGAATATATCAGAATCCCGCCCTTTTTAGAGCTGCCTCGACGGCGTTTTGGACTTCGTGCCATGTTATCTCCAAGCTCTTTTAAGCTCCATTTCTGCTTCTTCAGGCCAAAAAAAAAAAAAAAAGCAAAACCCACGTCTTCTGTTTATATGCTTCTGTTATATATATCTATTTATATATATTATTGCATCTGTTTGTGCTATATTTAATTTATTTTTAAAGTTTTTCCGACGTGTAAATAATATTTATTTTTTTCAGTTGTCTGTACGTGTAACACGTGTATGCCTTCTCCACCTGGCGATTCTATTCAAGTTATATTTTCTCCTGACTTAGATTTTTTTTTTTTTTTGGCCCCTTTATTAGTGAATCCGCGACCATAATTATACGTTCAATAAACTCCGTTCTCGTGCAATAACCTGTAAATTGTACAGGGGAGTTATAGAACCCGCATTATATACACATAGTATCCATATTTTATTGGATCTTCAAGATGTGTGTACTCCTTAATTCTTGAAAGTGTATTATTGACTTATTGTGATAATTATTAATTAAGTGGCTTTAATTTGTGATAACCCCTTTTTTTAATTCTCCTGTTTCTTCCTTTGGCTCTTTATAGAGAGAGAGAGAGAGAGAGAGAGAGAGAGAGAGAGATTGATTAATGGTATCTTCAGTAAAGATCCAATTGCTGGAAAACTTATCCAACATAAAACAATATCCATCCAATCATAATGTGTGCAAACATTATTTCCATAATCCCCACTTGCATATATACATACATATATATGTTCCCTACTACATATTTTTTTATATATTATATATCAACATACATAGTTAGTTGATATATACCAGTATTAGCCATCTCTCTCTCTCTCTTCTCTCTCTCACACACACACATAACACACACTGTGTGTGGATTAATCAAAATGGGGAGGAAGTGCTCAGAATGTGGGAAGGTAGGCCACAATTCAAGAACCTGCACCACATCAGCTTCAAGATCAGGACTGGTGGCTGATGATCGTGATGATGACGTCATCATCAATGGCGGCGGAGGAGGAATAAGATTATTTGGTGTACGGATTGATGATGATGTCATCATCTCATCATCCGCTTTGTCTTCTTCATTAATCATAACTCCGATGAAGAAAAGCCTGAGGTTTGATTCCTTGCCTATAATGATCTTGACACCACCTGCTGCACCTTCCTCTTCTTCATCTTCTTCGATATACGACAACTCCGACAATAATAATAATACTTTCACCGCCGGTGGTTATCTCTCCGACGATCCGTTAATTCACCAACCTCCGGAGAGAAGAAAAGGTGTGTATTTTATACCATTATATCACTTCGTCTCTAGTTATTTTTTTACTTGTACTAAAATTACTGAAATACCCTTCGAAGTTACGAGTTCGTTGCTTCTCTTCTTTAAGATAATTTTGTTTGATTAATAATACGTGCGATTAATATGGAATATTTTGAATTTTTGATAGCTCAATTTGTACGATTTTTGTATATAATTAATTACTAGGAGTGCCGTGGACAGAAGATGAACATCGAACATTCCTAGATGGACTAGAAAAGCTAGGGAAAGGAGATTGGAGGGGCATTTCGAGAGAGTATGTGAGTACGAGGACTCCAACGCAAATTGCAAGCCATGCTCAGAAATATTTTCTCCGGCAGACGACTAAGAAGACTAAACACCGTTCTAGTCTCTTCGATATGGTAATAATTTCGATAATCTCTCTAAAGAATTAATTATATCTTTTTTTTTTCTAATTATATATAAATTGGTCGTCACTTTCACGACAGGTTGGTGCTGATAATGATCAATGTCTTTAGTCTCGGATACAGCCGATGAGTTTCGATTTTTCAAGAAAATATATGTGGGAAAATAAATCTTCACTGAATTAACTTCCCTCCTAGTGGTTTTGTTTATTTTTTTTATTTTTTATTTTATGAAATATTAATAATGTAATATGTAATTTCTTAATTTGTAAAGAATATCTAGTGGAACAATTATTTCTAATTACAAAGAAAGTTTTGTCTATCTAATGTTACAAAAATAATAAGAATAAAAACCTCATCAATATATAATCCTAAATATTCCTTAAAAAAAAAAGGGACGACTAGCAAATAAAGAAAATATATAAATTCTAAGGCTAGAAATTGATGTTGAACTTAGGATAATAAAATAAGTGTGAAGAGAAGAGAGATACATAGTACATACAAATTTGTGTGAAACGAGAATCTTCCAAGACTGCATAATTGTATATATATATATATATATCTATATATTCAGACAAGACACACTGGGATTCTAATGTTTCTCATCATCTATTCACAAATTGTATAATAAAAGACAACTTCTTTCATATTGTATATAAAACACACACACACACACACACACACACACACACACACACACACACACACACACACTGACTTATATGCAAATTCATGGACCACCATTATTAGAACAGGGGTCCTGAATAGTCTTATTAGTTCCATTGCTATTTCTGTATTTCAATTTCCTTCAAATAGTTTTTTGTCTTTATTTGCTACTTGTTGATGTTTTGAGTTTTGTCCTTCGATTGGCCAGCTTCCGGTTTCGGGTTTTCGGGTTTCGGGCATTTTTTATTTTTTTATATATCTGATTTAGATATCATAAATATATTCTTTTTTTTCGTATATACACCCTTTAGATGCGTAATTAATAAATTTTATTTACTTTATTTTACCACTACTACTATTAATTGTTGTACTAATAAATTTCTTCTATATGTAGTCTTTAAATTAAAGTAGACTTTGATGCATTTTTGCGATGAAACTAAGATTAGTGTGTGTGTGTGTGTAATGACAAATTTGTGATAGTGAGATTCAGATAGGACCACAGATGATGCTAGAAGATTAAATAGTTCTTTATTTTGGAACATATGGAAAGAAAATGAGAAAGTGACAGAAATATATATAAGATGTCATGTGACCCTATTTAATCCTATTGTTCTATCCAATTTTTTATCGCATCTTTAAATATCAAATCTCAACTTGTTTGGGTAAAGAATTGAATCTCATTTCAATCGAGCAAAACATGAGTCGAGCTTCAGCATATAACTGTTCTTATTAATTATCAAACTGTGTTCGGCTTTAAATCTTATGGTAAATTACCGATCACCCCTGAAATAAGCTCAAATTACGAGAAAAAAATTCCCTCATATTCAGGTTTGATTTGCTATATATGGACAGTCAGACAGATATCTAGTTTAAAAACAAACGACAATTCTACTAGATATAGTCCAACCCCATGAATTGATTCCAAGACAAAAACTTCTCTATTAAAAGGGGCCCCACATTTAAGGACAATTTTATTTTATTTTTCTTAACCTGCAAGGATACATAATGCTATTTCTGTAGAAAGAGAAACCAATGTTGAAACAATCAAAAATTGGAAATTTATATAGTGGAAAACTATAGTACATAAATAATGTACACCTGCTGCTATCTCAGTTTAACAAGATGGTTTAATCATATTTCCAGTTGTGTAAGTAATCTCTATAACATAATAAACGGTGGGCGCAACGAAAAAAAAGAATCACTACGTTAGATAGATATATGTTGGAGGAGATTCACAAATTTGCTGCAGCAACAGCACAAACGGAGAAATGCGAGGAGAAAGAAAAAAAAAAGTTACTCTGCGGTGCGATATTCCAAAATTGTCCCTAAGAGCAGAGGAGCAACTCTCGATCGGCTTTTGCTAAAACGAGAACTGACTTTCAGTGGGTTTTTTCAGTCAACCTCCTTTGCACTCTTAAACACCTGTCCCCCATAATAGATAGCATAAGAATGCTGCCATCATCATCAAAGTTCCGATATTTGCACTCGTGTGGGTTTCTTTATTACTTTTATTTATATATATCATGAATCGTGAGTGCCTCTGACCATCAAAGAAATATGCTTAACACTGTCTGCACGCAATATATCTCCCCTAATTCCAATCTGGGAACAAAAGTCATATTCAATAACCTCAAAACTCTACCCAGATTTTACGCCATGGTCTCAACGTATATCAACTCAAATTTATAGATAAATGTTGTAAGAAAAAAAAAAAAGGGTTACCTCGTGTGCTACATCAGGAGAAAACCACCGTAAAAGCACGCCAAGATGTACCACAGCTGGTATGAGCTTGAAGAATAATGGTGTAGTTACCTGCATATAATAACCTTTTATGAGCACATGTTGCAAGCCAAGATATTACTCTCAATTTACTCGAGACTGTTAAATTCCTCGACAGTAAATCTGTACATCTATCCCACATTATTCACATGGGTTGCGTAATTTAAGTTACTATTGGTCCTGTTTTGAGTTCAAAATAACAAATTAATTATCTGATACCAACATTTTTCTTAGATACGAATAGCAACCACAAATTGGCGCTCTTATGTGAATATAATATATGCAAGCATAACAAATTCAAAATTTTCTGAAAATTGTCTTAACATATATGGAGAAAACACTACGTAATACGAATCTCACCAACATTAGTGAAGACTATCTTTTTGCTTTTTTTAAGAATTAAAAGTGAAACCAAAGCTCACAAGAAACTGGAAAAACTTATAAGTGTACATTCTAACGTACCAGACTGAGAGCTGTTGTTCCAAGAAGCAGCATGTACACATTACCCTACGAAAGATATTAATTCCGTTAGAGTTACATCTCAGCAAAATACAGAAGCTGAATCAGGACCACAATCTAAGGAAGACGATGACAGTGATTTTCTTAATATGAAAATAATTGTCATACTCATAGCTGAATATGTGGAGATATTATCAATCACTACGTAAAGCAAAGCTATACCTCAATCAGCTTAAGGTTTGATGCCCGGCTAAGAAGAACAAAAGCGAATTCTCCGATTTGTGCAAGAGACATCCCTACCTGTATGTGCGTATAATTAAGATTTGCTGTAAGAAAATTAGCAAACTAAAATTTAGAAAATAATATTAGGCAATGACATACAAGAAGTGAAGTCTTGTTATTGTAGCCAAATCCTCTCACGACCAAAGTGACCACAACTGTTTTTATTATAATCACCAATATAACAGCTGCCAGCAAAATGTCAATGTGGTTCCAAAGAAAATGAACATGAATAAGCATTCCGATACTGGCTAGAAAAAGGGCAGCAAATAAGTTTCGGATTGGCTCCACCTACAAAACAAGGAGTTGCGGATAAGAAACCCTTCAGTGCAATATAAATTAACACATTTTGATACCAAGTATTAAATTGAAATATAAAGACAAACAATATAGCCACCAATCAGTTCGCGTACACAAGAAGGAAAAGGTGTATGCATCCCCCAAGCTAAGTTTAAGACCTTAATCTTAGTCATTACATGTATAGTAAGCCCAATTCAAACAACAATTGTAGCGCCATTGGGATCACTAGTCAGGCCTATTTCCAAACCCAAGGGAGGATAAGGCTTACTAATGCTTCCATTTTTTAAGGGGAAACAAAAATCATGATTTCTTCAAACATATTAAAGCAACTGAAAAAATTTCAAAGAGATAAGATCGAAATAGCAAAATTCCAATTTTGACCCCATTGAAGATTCTATCACCTCTTCAGTCAGTTACTCACTCACCTCCAATTACTTTTACAGGAATACCTAATTCCAAATTAAACCTTGTTTTACTACCTTAATATGTGTGTACATTAAAAAATGGAACAGAGAATAAATGTAGAACTAGAGTACCTGTTCGAGAGTATGCTGAGCAAACTCAGTTGTTGATATCATGACTCCAGCAGCGAAGGAACCCAATTCAAGGCTCAGGCCCAACTTGTCACTAGACTGAAATGAGACAGCATTTACATATATTCAAATAGATAATGGATACATAGATGCAAAGTGTTACAAACACGTAGACGGAGAGAGAATGAGTAGTAATATGTGAGATGGCCATTGATAAGAATTTATGTGCAAATCATGGAAGTTGCAGAAAACATGATCCAGATACAACTTGAACATCTCAGATGGATTAATAACAGAATTTGGAAAGTGAGACGTACCCAAGCAACAAGCAAGCAGAAAGCCACAGATGCCAATTGATATAGTTCATTTGTCTGCAAATATAACAGCGGATCAAAGTCAAATATCAGATACAACCTGCAAGTTTTTTGTTTGCTCAAATAAAAAATTACCTGTGAGGACAGGCTAATCATCAACTTAAGAAACCAAGGTATACAAGTGCGGGATAATATTGACAAAATGACCAAAAATGCAACTAACACCATGAACCTGTATACGGAAAAATAAATGAAATAAATAACAAAAAAAATCATTGAAAAGAATGCAAAAGGTAAAATAGGAATCTGAGGATTTCAGGACTTGGGTCAGAACATAGATCATTGAAAAGAAATTCCAGTATCATATGCAAAAAGAAAGCAGGAATCTTCAAGATTTCAGGACATGGTCAAAACATATTCTGGCCACAATGAAACCAAAATCAAGTGGGGGTAAAAGAAAATATTAAGAAGCATAACTTTTAATTAATAGGGAAAATTACACCTAACCTCAGGTGTAATTACAGCTTCACATCTCAGGTTTAGAAAATTTATAAAAACCTCCCTTAAGGTCTGATTTAGATTACAATTAACCCTATAACCATTGACTTGTTAAAAATTTCAATTTTACCCTTTACCGAGCATTGAGTAATTACATTGCCTTCCACTGAGCTTAGGTTAGAATACATATAGACCCCCTCGTATTTAGAAAATATAACAGAAACCTACCATAAGATTTTACTTATACTAAAAATTATAAACTCATTAAATAATATTTTATTCTCACAAAAACGAAAACCATCAATATTGAAAGATAAGTTAGAGAATAGAGAATGAATAAACCAATATAGCACAATCCCGTGTTTGTGTCAAGATTACAGAAAAGACTATTGACTTACAATTTTGTCATGGAAACCATTCCTTGAAGAGCACCAGAAGTACCACCAAGGATTGGAAGAAGGGCAAATAGCAAACCCACTGCACAATCCTGGCAGGCAAAGGCATCTCAAACTTTGGAAAAGCACATTATATTGCAGTTCTGGAAAACTTGCAAGCAAGTTCATTATATTTTAATTTACATGCATCATAATCAAGGTAAGTCAGTATTATTTATAATTGTCTGGAAATATGGCAAAAGCATTTTGGTTTCTACTTCAATATAAACAGAGAGACAATCGTAAAGCTGATACGGACCTGCAGAATAAGGGTTCCAACTGTGACCTGCCCATGTAATGTATTGATACTGTTCTTTTCCATCAAAAATTTTAGAACCTGCATGTGAAAGATGTATCATTTGAATCAGTCGCCATTAGGCCATCAATAACAAATACACAAGAGTTCTGTTGATCCATTTTCTGGTTATTCTAGTTCTTCTGGATGAAGATTTTGCAGATAATAACCAGAAAGGTTCCAAAATAATTGTTAATATAGAGTGAATTGTACAAAGATACAGGCTTACTGTTCCTCCTTGGGAATTAAAGTTATTTTTTATCGGGAGGTAGAAGAGAAAGTACGTATAGATTCCTGATTATCGAGATTTTCCATAAGTAGCAGATGATGAAGGGGTTTGACCTAGAACTATTGTCCTGTTTTCTCAGCGTGACTAGATGTCTGGAAAGCTTTGCATAATAATTGCTTTTCCATTTGGATCTTTGGCAGTTGGCACAGTAAAGGTGCACTTTCTGTAGACAAGACAAGTTAGTATGTTCGTAAGCATCTTGCACCTACAACCTAGTTGTTCGTGGGTTTGAGCCACCTGATGGAAGTTGTAAAACCAGCCACTATCCTCCTTGAAAAAACACTGCATTCCTTTTAAGCATTATGCAAATAATGGTGAACTCCCAATATAGTATACTTGTTTTATCATAGTATAGGTGAAATGAGTACAAGAAGCATGAGCCTCTTTGGTATGTGGGTTTGCTTGATGATTTGTAATTCTATAGGTACTATGTAAGACTAAGATAGTGTGTAGTACGTGTGCAACGTGGAAAATTTCCAGTTTTTATTAGTGATTATTTTGATGAAGTGGATGGAAAGGAGAGAACAGGAGTTCAGTTAGTATTTATGGGTTTAGTTGGCTATATGGATAATTAAATTACCTTGGATACAGCTATAACATTATCCTAGAAAGAAAAGTAGCCCTATAACTAATGTTGACGCAATTTTTATTCATTGCAATCCTCTAAATTAAATCTTAAGCAATAAATGGAGAGAAAAGGTACTTCAGAAATGAGCACTCAACAGAACAATTGTGCTTTGATCTCGGCCAATGAAACAGTAAGTTAATAGTGAAAGAACAATTAGAACGTACCACTGCCGTTGAAGACATTGAGAGGAATACACCAACAAAGACACCTTCAGATGCTTCCCCACCACACAACTGTAAAATGTATCACTTATACACATTAGACCGAAAACATAATGAAAGTAATAGACATGGTAACATGCAAAAATCTGAAGGACAGCAGTCCAGATGGAGAATACTGGGTGAACATAATCCAGACCCCTTTAGATTCCGTCATGCATCAAGACTTCATACAACAATTTCATATTTACAAAGTTATACAATCAGCATCTAAGTGAAAAAAGAGAGCACACCAAGGCTGTTATCCCACACAAACACATGAACAGAAATATCTGAAGCAACCCGCCAAAGACAGCAACTGCTCGCACAACACGAATCTGCATTACCAAATTATATTTACTATCACTTATTCACTTTCAAGTTATAAATTATATATCAATAACATTGACAGTGTAAATTTAGATAAACATCAAAACCAACCTTCACTGCGGAGAATTCCAAGCCCAGTGCAAAAAGAAGAAAAATAACTCCAAACTGTGCCACTGTTTCAACCTGCACGCACATACTGCGAGAAGTTAGCTGCAAATTTGACTTCAAAAACATAATACCGCCACAAGGAGGTCATGAGAGTAAGATATTAACAATAATGCGATAAGGATAATTTAAAATGAAAAAGGAAGGAACATAAAGCAACATACTTGCACCATTTCACTGACAAAGCTAAAACCCCCTGGTCCAACAATAGATCCTGCTAGTAAATATCCAGTTATAACCTGCAAGGTTAAATCCACAGATTCTCACAGGTATTAGTCAGGGAACACCCGAAACAAGGAGAACAAATGAAAGCGGAAACCACAAAGATTAGCAAAAAGCATAAAGCTATTGAAGAAATCTGACCGGTTGTCCAGCACAAGCGAAGGCAATTCCACCACAGGTTGCGGAAACAATTACAACTACTAGATCAGATATGAATCTGTCAACAGTAAACCAGAAAAGTTAAATGATCGCCCAAACTAGATGAAGTAAAGTGGATAACGACTGAGGAGAGAGTAAGAATTGTAACCTTAAGTCCAACTGTAAGACAGGAAATTTTGACTTGGGATTGGACATAATGAAGACATTGTCCTGAAGATAAAATTTTAACAACTCGGTGTCAATTTCTTCAATCATATCTGAAAGGTGAACTTGCATTCTTTGACGATAATTATAGTGCATTTCTAGCATACCATAACTAAACAAAGATGAGAATTATATAATGGAACTTTCGAGTGGTTCAAAATAGTAAGTACCTTGTTATCTATCAAGGTTGGTGTCTCATCAGGTCGATTCTCGTTATCAAGATTAAACACATCATGGAACTGAAATGGCCTAACAAGAAGTCGGAAAGAAATCAACAGAAGTCATACTAGGAAGTGTACAATGATGAAAGTCAAAAATAGATAATCAATGCCACACAGTACTATGAAACATCAGTCTGTTCAATATACAGGGTAAAATTTGAGAAAGCTTACTTTTCATCTTTTGTCTCATTTTTCTTGGGCTTAACTCTAGCAACAGTTTCCAAAACTGCCTGTGAATTTAATAGTTTCAACGGAGATAGCAGAAACCAAAAGAGAGTGAGAGAGATGGAGAGAGTTTGGGAATAAATCTATAGATTTTAGACCAACTTAAATGTAGTGCAATCATAACATACTCGCAAATGACAGAGCAAAAAGCGAAATTTCTGGTAACGTGCTTTTTAAATCAATCTTCTTATGTGTAAAGAAATAAAAACATGAACATAACCAAGATGACAGTTTCTCGTGATGTTGGTTTTACTTCACAAGAAAACACAAGCAAAACTAAAGCTGATATTGTAAATGGAAATCTTTTGTCTTAAAACCTCATAACCATTGCTAATCCTCTCATCAAGTTAATTGAATCACTACCTTTTCTACTAAAACTCCATGCCCTGTGATCTCTTAACTCATAATTTTTTTGAACTAGGTATAATATTGATAATAACTGAAAGATGAACGATTATTAAGGCAACAGACCTGTTGTTCTGCCACACTGTTGTTGAAGCTCCCATGATCAGTGACTGCAAAATGAAGAAGAAAGAGCGGAACTCAAGTTACTAAGTTTGTTTCCAACTAAAAATGCCCAATCCTACATTACTATGTTTAATCAGCTTCACTAATTTAAACACTTCTAATCCACCACTTTGTCAGTGGTCTCATTCCGTAAATGTTAACTTGAGATTTTGAATTACACACATGCTCGAAAAATTACAACATTAAATGCAATGAATTTTACCAGTGTTCCAACATATCTCATAATGTTCTCCACAAACCAACACAATTGCCGCATGATTCCTTGTGTTAATTTCACACCCTTATACGAATATATCATTTAACTTGCCTCGATAATTGAAAGTTGACACTATTATACAGTTCTCCACAAGAAGACTAGATTAAGAAATCATTTTCCTTTTCTGAAGAATGTAAAAATTTAGTATCGATCACATCATAAACGACAAAGCCTCATTCAATTCTTGAGGAGGATTGTTTAAACACTAAAATTATTCCAGGAAATAAACGCAATTTGCTGAAACTGGAAAAAGGAACAGCATAACTGAAACGTTGACAATTAAAAATATACTTGGAAGGCATAACAAATAAGTGATGTCAGTAAAAAATTCATCACTGTTCTTTGCAGAATACTAGAAACAAAACAAAAATTGCCGAATTGAAGAAGAAAATAAAAACAGCATAAAAATTAGGTCAATAAACATACAATGTACAACACAGCAATGCGCATAGTACAACAATCAGAGATCTGCACTAACCGTCGGAGAGTTCATCAGTCTCGTTGAACTCTTTCTCCAATGCGTGATCAATCATAGTAGCGAAAGTGTTGTCCTTCGCTTTAGACGTATCGTTCGAAAGCGTACCGTTTACGGCGCCGATTTCAGGGATCGGATCGCCGGCGTTGAGTGGGGCGAAAATGAATAGGAGAATCAACAGAGCAAAACATATCCGCATTTTTTTTTCTTCCTCTCCGTTCTCTTCAAAAGGTTCCGCGGAAGAGAGAGGGGGAAAATCAGTGGAGGCGCGTGGAGTTGACGCCCAGGCGGAAGTTAGCAGAGAGGGGGGAGGGCTTGGAGATGCGGTGCAGGTGGACTGAAATTACGTAAAGGACCTTCTTCTCTTTTACGTTTCCCAGATACTCGGTGCTTGAGATCTGCAAAGGAAGATAGTTTTTGAGTAGGTGAGGTGCACGCGAGTAGCGAAGGATGCGTTAAACACGCGCCGTCGTGTTTCGGTTGCTGCTCAGGTATTTCTTCAACTATATTCTTTTATCGAAATTATTTATGTGAATTTTTCAATTACGTAGACTTAATTATATACTAATTTTTTTTTTTATATTCGTATCAAAATTTAGGTAGAGTATCATGAATCATTGAATTGAATTAAATGGATTGTCACACTAATCCCTACATTATGAGTTTACTTATAAATGTAGACTCGTTTAACGTTTTACTTAGAATTTAGAATTTATAGACAACCAACCTCAAAATTATCCATTCCAACAATGCCACCAAGATTTCTAAATTTATTTGTGATGCATTTATTATTTAAAGTCAATTTTATTATTATATTAAGTGTAGCTAATTATATTTATATTTAAAATGGATCCATTAATTTGTTATTCATTTAAATAAAGGCCCTAGCAATAATAATAAAATGGGATGGGCCGTGGGACTGAGAGAAGCCCAGGACGAAGGAAAGCCCGATCGAGAAAGAGCCCAATTGTTCTAAGAGATTTCCAAAAAAGAGTGTTTGGAAAGGTTTTCTCGATATTAGCACTCGGATGGTCAAGTCAATCGGATAGAGTGGAAAACGATATATCTATTCGAGGGGTAAAGAATGGTGTATTGAATGTAATATCTGAAGAGAAGGAACCTATTTTTCCTTGTACTTATATATGCCATGGGAATGGGTCTGGTGGGACCCTGTCTTATCAAGTCACCATTCACGTGCGAGTGACATGGCATTACTTGTTACGAGCTCGTTTTACCAACTAAAGGAGATATTCCATTCCCCCTAGTTGTGCTAGTCTTCCTCTCTCTATGATCTGGGTCGCTCTGTGGTTGCTTTAACTGCCCTAAGCAAACTCGCTGGTGATTAGTGGACATATTTTCAGTCCACGTCATGGTGCAAACTTTCCACCTTTTTCCTGACATTGTGTCGAATATAGTCACATCAGCGACTTTGGCATTCCCTATGTGGGACTATTTGGTATGATTTAGGAGCTATAGTGGGTGAGACGGCCTTGAGCATGAGCCTTCCTTGAGTTTTGTGTAGGATTTTTAATTCAATATGAGCCTAGAGAACATATTTAAGAAAATCAATTCTAGCTCCAAAGTCGAATATTCATTTCCTCTAAGCATTTGAATATTTTCGGATTGAAATCTGCAAAATTTAAAATTCGAAATTTCCATTCCAATTTCCACCCCCGACTCCATGTCATTGCGAAAAGTGAATATAACAAAATATCAATCAGGAATCTTTTCATCACCAAGACAAAAGGGACACATCCATAACAATTTCTATACAACATTTGAAATCAAATAGATTGCCTTCTCCAAGTGATAACAATGAACAATCCATCCAACTAAGATTGATTGCTACCTTCACAATCATCACAATTTTGGTACGTTTTGTAATTTAAGGGTGTGTATGCGACACATCCCATAATTCAGGGGTGCAAAGTGAACTTTACCCTAAAAAATATAAAGACAAGACCAAATCCAAAACCGCACATTGCACCTGGTTTTCTCCAAAACAACAATGAATTAGAAAGCAAGTCATCAAGAAAATAGTATATATATATATATACATATATATACACTAAGCCTATATGGCATGCAAAAAGAATCTTATAAAAGATTCTTCCATAAAAGAACAATGAATCAAAAATCTACGAAGAATAAGCAAATAGATTTGATCACATGGTGTTGGTGGATTATCTGAACTTAGACATATAGGTATAGTAATCTCGGTGGTGAGAAAAGAAACGAAACAGTGGCGAATCTCCACATTGCATGTCAGAAATGGGGATTCTTTATGGTGACGAAAAAATGTCGTACGTGTGAGTTATTATATCTCAGTTAAATCATTTTTTTCCGCAAATTTCTTTCAGAAAAACGGCATTTTATATATACATGCAGATCGAAAACCACAAGATTGATATAGAGCTTACGGAGAAGGTGAAGCTTTTGGTGAATCGCCATTACGAAGACAATCTGAAAGCCACTTTCTACAAATCCGAGACAGCACAAATATTGGAAAATAACGGATATATCGGTGACAAAGATTGGGAAAGCACTTTCTTCATTTGGCGTCGACTATATTCTAACATCAACGAGCTTACTAGCCTCTCAAAAGATCTCCGGTAAGTTTATATTTTGCATTTAGCACACACGTGTTTACCCTAGTTGTTAAAAAAACACCCATGCATGTTGTAAATATTAGCAAACACCCCCCTATGATTCAATACACAGGGACTTGTGTGTTAAAAATATGCATTATAGGGGGTGTTTGCTAATATTTATAACACAGGGAGTTTTTAGCAATTTCATACAACACGGGGTACTAAAAGCAATAAACTCTATTTTCTAGCCTCGATCTATATACAATCAAGATAAAGAATTCATATCTAAGGTGGTGTTTGCAGAAGCTTTTTGAAAAGTGATTATGAGCTTTTCCTTTTTTGGCTCATAATCACTTTTGTAAGTGTTTTCAAATGAAACTTTTGCGTTTGCTTCTCTTAAAATAAGTTTTTATAAGCCATAATTTCAAAAGCCCTCAACTCTTAGAAAATAAGCATTTATTTCCAACTTTACTCACAATCACAAACTTCTACTTTTACATAAGCTCTTGACTACTATGTGAATTTAACTGCAGCAAAGCAATCGAAGACTACATTAATCAACTAATAAAGCTCGCAGAAAATCTTTCCGAGCTCATGTACGAGAATCTAGGCAGAAAAAACCCACATAAAGGAAGCATTTTCAGGACGAACAGGCCCTACTGTAGGGACAAAAGTGGCAATTTACCCACAATGCCCCCGCCCCGAACTCATAAGAGGACCACGAGAGCACACAGATGCTGGCGTAGGGGTGGCAAACGAGCCGAGCCGGCTCGCGAACTCGACGAGCCGGCTCGAAAAAAGCTCGAACTCGAGCTCGGGTTTTTCGAGCTCGAGCTCGAGCCCAAAATTAGTTGTTCGGCAGCTCGCGAGCTGCCTTATTTCTTTTTATATATATATATATATATATATATATATTATTCTTATTCTTATTATTATTATTATTAACTAAATAGTAAATAGTCTATAATAATAAATATATCTAGTATTTAAATAGAAACAAATCTATATTACTTAAATAATTCATAATAATATAAAATATAATAATAATAATAATAATAATAATAATAATAATAATAATAATAATAATAATAATAATAATAATAATAATAATAATAATAATAATAATAATAATAATAATAATAATAATAATAGAAAAAATAAAATATATATATATAACTAGAGTTCATTATTTATTTTATAATTTTTTTTATTTTCCTATGAATAATTTTTTATAAAAAATAAAATGATTTTAATAAAAAAATTAAATAATAATATAAAAAAATATAAAAAAAATAAAATAAATTAAATAAGCTCGAGCTCGAGCTCGGCAACATGGACTCGAGCTCGAGCTGGCCAAAAGAGCCGAGCTCGGCTCGTTCCCACCCCTATGCTGGCGGCATAATTCTCTTGCTACAAGACGACCAAGTCCCAGGTCTCGAGTTTTTCAAAGACGGAAAATGGGTGAAAATTCCACCTTCGAAGAATAACAGAATATTCGTAAATATTGGTGATCAGGTCGAGATTTTGAGTAACTGTGTTTACAAGAGTGCAATTCACCGTATTATGGCTATGTGAAATGGAAGCAGAATTTGCATTGCTTCTCGAGCACCGTCTATTCAAATCAAAAGTAAGTTCCATTTTCACCAAATTAACAAGAGAAGTTACAAGGCAGACAATTTCGATATTATCGATTTGGTAACTATTGTGTCAGTTTTCTCAACAACTTCAGTCAATAAAACCTTGTGCCGCTTCAAAAACGGACCACATTTGCTGACTAGGCATAGTACAAAATTACCAAACTTTAAGGATTTCGAGTACCTGTCACCGAATTCGCAGACACGGTCAACAAGTCGATCCACCGAATCTTGCACAAATCGAACATCATGATTCAGAATATTCCGCCACAAGCCAAACAAAGATTCCGTCCACACCAATTCATCGCTAATCAAACACCGATGACATGGCAGGCAAACGAACCTCTTCGCATCTTTATCTTCGCAGAGCACTTTTTGACAAAAAGCCGAAACGTGAGCTGTATGCATGCACTCTTTAACTATTCGAGTGATGACATCACATATGTGGCTGTTCACACCTTCACTTCGTAAAATCAACGGAAGCAGAAGCGCATACTCAGCGGCCTTATGGTGGGCCTTGCAGTACTCGATCGTAGCACTCAACACCACACGAGAACACGGTCCGTTGAGTATTAACAACTTAGGAAGGGCTATTGAGCATAACACATGACTATGCCAGCTAAGATCATCCACGGAGAAACAAGACATCAAAACCGCTGATATCTCATCGTTTGTACTCCACGGTTCAATCAAATTCAAAACTGGCAAATAATATTCTTTTCCGCACCGAATACAAAGCTCGCGAATTTCGTTCGCCAATTCCACAGCTTTAGACGTCGACTCGAGATTAAGAAGACGGGATTTAATAGATATTGCCGTCTTTTCGACTTCGACCTCTATAGGGTCGTCGAATTTACGTTCGTCCACGTCAATTTCTAGCATCACTTCATCGAATTCTTCTTGTTTTTCACTACTCCCATTCCCATTAACAATCAAATCATCTTCCTTACACACACTGCCAATCGATGGCCTTTCCGCAATTAGTTCATCGGGCGAAATAGGAAGCCAAGGCAACACTGGCTCGTTATCTTTAGCAGCATCGCTAAGCCAATCGGGAATCGAGTAGAACTCTCCGTCAGCATTTTCTTCTTCCGAGTCCAAATTCAAACACGAGAGCCATCGATAATCAGACACGGATACTGAATCAAGAAGCTGTTCGGCAGCTTTCTTCACCCAAAAATCGAGATTTTTACCCTGAGTCAACATAGTTCTAGCAAGTCCACACAAGTCATTTCTACAGAACCTCTGATTATCGTATACGAGAAACGACAAAATTCGAGCCTGAACTACATTAGGCAATGTCTGAACCCACATAACCCTGCCCATTTAAACAACAAACACTCAAACTTTTGAACACAAAATGCAATCTTTATCAACTATTATAAGTGGGGCTCACCTCTTTTTCTGCAGAGAAGATGGATCATCGGAATTAGCGTCTGAAATTCTTGTAAGAAGTGACAGAAGAGATGTGGTGGAAATGGAATTGGTGTTTGATGATGGGTTGAAATTCGTTTGCAGCCATTGCGATGCATCGCTCTCGGGGCACGGCGAATTCAAGAAAATTTGGAAGAGTGGAATCCAATCTTCCATTCTGATCAATTAGGGTTTTTGATTTAGGGATTTTCTTTTTTTTTTTTTTTTTTTTTTTTACCTCCTCAACGGCTAATCCCATCTTAACAATTTAAAATCTCCCACGTCAGGTAATTACGAACAATTTAAAACCCTACCGTACTTGACGAACTAAGGGTAAAATTGACAGAAATAATCAAAAATATCAAATTATTAAAATATAAGGGATCAAATATGTTTTTTATAAACATAAGGGACCAAATGTAAAATTATACAAACTTAAAGGATGAAATCTGTAAATCTCCCCCACTATCTCATTATATATAACACCCCCACCACTGCACAAATCAAAGCATAGAGGTCCAGTACCATCCCTTGTATTAATTGGTTCTGCTCTCTGATCAGTGTGTGAAAATGGAGTGCAACACCAAACTAAAGCAGCCACTATTAGCCGCCGCTGTCGCCGGAGACGACATTGGTCCGGTCATCGGAGTTGATGGATTCATAAGGGCTTTCAAACTGGAGTCGAAAAAGCTTTGGTCTTTGGCGGGGCCCGCCATTTTCACCTCCGTTTGCCAGTACTCTCTTAACGCCGTCACACAGACATTCGCCGGCCACATCGGCACATTTGAGCTCGCCGCTTTCTCCGTCGAGAATTCCGTCATCAGCGGTTTATGTTACGGCATCATGGTATACTAATCCCACTTCCTCTCTCACTGTCTATAATTATATATAATATGACAGTAGAACATCGATAAATTAATAATATCGCTTAAGTAATAGTTCGATAATTTAATTTTTCAAGAATTTTGCTAGTCCCGACTGTATTAATTTGTAGAGATTTAACTGTATATACGTGTTGGAGTATATTAAAAAAAAATTGCAATTTAATTTTTTTTTAAGAAAAATATGTAAATTAAATTGCTAGTAAGTAATATTATATTTATTCAGAAGTCTATTTTTTGCATTAAAAAAATTTGTTATCAATAAGTCGATTGGAATTAATTATAGATGTGTATATAATATTCTTAATCATCATCGTAGACTTGAGAATTAGCAACCTTAAACTGAAATTGTGAAAGTCAAACCAAATCTGGTGATTGGTTGTCGTAAGATTGTACTAAAATATGTTATAACTTGCAAATGTAATTTTTTTAGCACGTGGTCATAAATTAATATCCTGTGGTGACTCACTGGTGACTCAATAATTTCTTATAACTTACTTCATAATTGTATGCATTTATGATGAATATATTTGACATTTTTTCATCACACACACATCTATCTATCTATATATATATATATGGGCGGACCCAAAAAATTTACCTCTTTTTTATTGATTTTTTTTTTATATTTTATGTTATTTATCTATTAATTGATACTATTTAGTCCCTCAAAGTTCAAATTCAATATAAATTATTGCCCCACACCGAATACCGCCTGGGTCCGCCCCTGAGTATGTATAATGTAATGTAAAAAATAACTACAGTGGGGGATGGGAAGCGCGTTGGAAACACTGTGCGGGCAGGCGTACGGCGCCGGCCAGATCGAAATGCTCGGCGTCTACATTAGGGGTGTAAACAAGCCGAGCCGACTCGTGAGCTCGAAGAGCCGGCTCGTAAAAAGTTCGAACTCGAACTCGAGATTTTCGAGCTCGAGCTCGAGCTCGCGAGCTCGAGCTTTCTGATGAGCCGAGCTCGAGCCGGTTTTCAGTTGTTCATGAGCTCTCGATCCGGCTCGCGAGCCGGATTTATTATTATTTTTCTACTAATTTGTTTAATTTTTAAAAGGTTATTCTTAATTTAAATAATGGTATAATAATGTAAAATAGTATAGAAATAAATACAAATATTGAAATATATATATAATTACAATTTAGTTTTTATTTTTTATTTTTTTAAATAATTTGTAATAATAAAATAATAAGTAGAAAAATATTGAACAGATCGAAAAAAGACAATGGGCTCGAGCTCGAGCTCGACACAACTGACACGAGCTCGAGCTCGAGCCAAAAAAAGAGGAGCTCGCGAGCTCGAGCTCGAGCTCGAGCTCGACAAAATAAACTCGAGCTCGAGCTCGAGCCAGCCAAAAGAGGCGAGCTCGGCTCGAGCTCGGCTCGTTTACACCCCTAGTCTACATGCAGAGATCGTGGGTCGTACTCCTCGCCACCAGTTCTCTCCTGACGCTCCTCTACGTCTTCGCGGGTCCCGCTCTGCTCCTCCTCCGGCAGAACGAGGACATCTCACGCGCCGCCGCGCGCTACTCCCTGTGGATGATCCCTCAGCTCTACGCCTACGCCCTGAACTTCCCGATCAGCAAGTTCCTGCAGGCGCAGAGCAGGATGGCGGCGATGGCTTGGATCTCCGCCGCCGCGCTGGCACTGCACGTGTTCTTCAGCTGGCTGCTGATGTTCAGGCTCCGGTGGGGGATGGCCGGCGGGGCGGCCGTCCTGAATGGTTCGTGGTGGTTCATAGTGGTGGCGCAGCTGGTGTACATATTCAGCGGGAGGTGCGGGAGGGCTTGGTCGGGGTTTTGTTGGGGTGCTTTCGAGAATCTTTGGGGTTTTGCTAGGTTATCCATGGCGTCTGCAGTCATGCTTTGGTACGTACCTTTTTTTTTTCTTTTCGAATTAATATTTCAAATTTAATGGGTAAATTACGGCCAACCCTCAAGATAAAATCGAATTACGAAAAATATATTTGGGTAATTGCAACCGTCATCCTCAACTAGAAGAATATCAGCTTGTTTCAAAATGTGGATCTCGAATGATGTAAAACGGGTACAAACTGAAGAATATTCCACATAATTTAGAAGATTCCACTGAGTCAGTGATTGTAATTATCCAAAACATAAGGATTTTTTAGTAATTTAATCTTACCTCAAGGGTGACTGTAATTTACCCTAAATTAATTTGAAGTATTAAGTCAAGATTTGAATTCGTTTAATTTCGTAGTATTAGTTGGCTGGATGTTCTAATTTGTGTTGATAAAAGAACATGTAACGTGTGGTTTGAGTTATTTCACAACTACTACTACTAATATATACATATAAAAAAAAAAAACTAAGTATTGAAAATTAAAAAAAAATGAAATTAAATATTCTTCTAATTAATTAATTGTTTATTGATGATCTTAAAATGTGGTGGGTGGCAGCTTAGAGGTGTGGTATTTTACAGCTTTAATTCTCTTCGCCGGATATCTAAAGAACGCAGAAGTTGCTGTTGATGCATTATCCACACGGTAATATTTAATAAATCTATATTTATCTATCTATATTTATCTTTTTGATATTTTTTTTATATTATCTGTCGCTCTACATTTTTTTATTAATTATGCGCTAATCATCATTTTTTTTGTCTCATCATTTTACCCCGAGTTGAGAGAGAGTTTTTAGTGGAAATAAAACCACTTATGAGAGGGATAATTTAGTCACAAATTAATCATTCAATTCATTTTATCAGAGCGGCCGAGGAATCTTCATATATCTTTATATATATATATATATATATATATATATATATATATATATATATATATATATATATATATATATATATATATATATAACGGGGGTGTTTGTTTGTTTTGCAGCATAAACATAAATGGGTGGGCTGTCATGCTGGCCCTTGGATTAAATGCAGCAGTAAGGTCTGTCTGAACATATAATTAAAAAAAGATTGAATTAATCTTACACAATTAATAATAAATAAATAAAAAAAAACACTTAATTTTATTGTGGATTAATTATATATATATAATGAAAATAAGTATGTGTGAGCATGCATGCAGTGTGAGAGTGTCGAATGAGTTGGGAGCCGATCATCCGAGAACAGCGAAATTTTCGATGGTGGTTGTGGTTATATCCGCGATATTTCTAAGCCTTATAATTACAACAATTCTACTGATATTCAATAAGCAATATCCGTATTTATTTTCGGAGAGTCCGCAAGTAATCGAAGCTATATATCAGCTCACGCCTTTGCTTGCCTTAGCCCTTTTGGTCAACAACGTTCAACCTGCACTCTCCGGTATGTCGTAATCCCGATCCTTCTCTAATTATTCATACGTCGTAATTTGACATCAAACTATATATATGTGAGTAATATTTTTTTTTTGTTTTTATAATATTGAATATGTTAATTAATTATTGTTGGTAAATTTACATACATATATTATATATAAATATAAATATAAATAATATAGGAGTAGCTATTGGAGCTGGAAGGCAAGCTTTGGTTGCATATATGAATATCACATGCTACTACATTTTTGGTGTTCCTTTGGGTCTACTTTTGGGCTATGGTTTTAAAAAGGGTGTACAAGTAATCCCTCTCTCTCTCTCTCTCTCTCTCTCTCTCTCTCTCTCTCTCTCTCTCTCTCTCTCTCTCTCTCTCTCTCTCTCTCTCTCTCTCTCTCTCTCTCTCTCTCTCTCTCTCTCTCTCTCTCCCCATGATTGATTTTTGATTGGTTTATTTCATTAGGGTATATGGCTAGGGATGATAACAGGAGCAGTTGTACAAACATTGTGCCTATTTTGGATGGTTTACAAAACTAATGTGGAATAATGAGGTAATTTAATTTGAACTATTAAATTTAAATAAATAAATTATTGT